CAAATCAATCCCAGTCAGTTTAAAAAGTCCAGGCAACTGTATATTCTTTTCTGTGGCAGGTCCTGCCCCTGGTTGCTTTAGGAGAAAGCCTTCCTGAGAAATTTTGGATGTATTCAACTGGAAAACTTTGGACTAATTTGAACACCAGGATTTGCCTCTAATGCAGTCTCTAAAACTTCCAGCTAATCCTTTAAACAGAATTTAATTTCCAATTAAGCTTTAATAATACGTTTCTAATTTTAATCTGCGCTTGTTTTGCTGCTTATTAGCCTCAACATGCTAAAGAGAAGGCTTTCTAAAGTGAAAAGCTAAAATTTATAAGAAAGCTTGGTATGGAAACTGCAAGCCAGCGAAAAAGCAGTTATCAAGAAATCTTGCTTCCTGTATTCATCAGATATCTTAGGGGTTTTTTTATCAAACGGACACTCCACCCTTTTATTACGGTTACAGGAATCAAATTTTTATTTATTAAAAAGGGCATTTTAAAAGAAACGGTTATGGTGGATTTTGACTTAATTCCTGTGTCAAATTTTCCATTTGATTAAAGTTAAGTTCTGTTCATAAGTTTGTGATTTGCCCAGATTTTTTTTGGAATAATTTAGAGAAACTCAGGTGTTGAATTTTAATAAATGCTTCCTTTGATTCCCACCTGCATGTTTTGGACACTTAGAAAGTTTGTAGGAAAACTAGATATGCTTTTAGGGATATGTTTCTCTCTTCTTTTTTTTTTTTTTTTTTTTTTTTTTTTTTTTTTTTTTTTTGATTTATTGTATAATTTGAATCTCTCCCTGCAAACACAGCTGTATATCCAGCAAACTTTAAGCCAATCTAAATGGAAAAATTGAGGTAGTTCATATAAGTGGGTTCACATAAAAGTTAGTATCTGGAAGAACGTTCCATTGTTAGCAAGTCAGTAATTGTATTAAATCTAATAGTTTTGATTTCTTACCAAAGTTGTGTGTGTCCAGTTCCATTAACTGGAGTAAGATCAGGTCATGTTACTCAACTGTTAGCCGAGTTAAGAATGTAATTGCTTGCAAATTCCTAATTACTACAGGGAAAGGTAGCGATTCCTTTCCTGTTTGCTGCTACTGCCTTGCAGATTATTACTCTTGCACTTCTGCAGAAATTTATTAGTTTTAATGTAACTTCAAATCTGGTGAATCAACAGTGTGTCAACCTTTTATTTGGGGAACATTTTCAGCTACCCTAGAAAACTGCTTATGCAGAAGTACTCGATTTTTAATGATTAAATTGGATTTTAACTTAAAATTTTAATTATTTCTTTAAGTAGCATTAGAGAAATGCTGGTGAAGGGAAAAGTACAAATTCAGTTAGGATCTGTCATTTGGGAAACATTTCTTCTGAACAAGAATGCCAAGCAGAAATAAAATGGTTTCACAAGCAAAAGCTTTTTCCTTACCAAAAGCTTTCTCGGGAAGGAACTGGAATATTTAGCAATGTTTTCAACTGTCAAGGAGCTATTATCTTGGCCACATAATACATAAATGGAAAAGCTGTAATGTAGAGTCACGAAGTTCTCGTGGTTCAAGAAATTAATATATCTGGTGAACACTAAGTAATTCATTATTGTACTTCACTATCTAAATTCATATAGAAAGCAAGTCGCCACTAATTGAATCTAACCCCAGGAGATAAAGCTAGAGTTGTCATGAGACTTGTTATCATTTTAAGAGTAATCTGAATTTTTCTATTAAGAAAAGGCTTTTTTTTTTTTCCTTTTAAAATAAAACCCCACAATCTCCCTCTTCAAACCTAATCCTCAGACCCCAAATTGTGCAATATACTTCATTTTCCTCATGAGGTAGTTGTACAGAAAAAAGAGGAAGTGTTGATTTTAGTCACAATCAATGTCTGTTTTCATTTTCAGTGCTGCTTTTCTTTGTGCACAGGTCCCCTTAGTTAACTTGAGACTCTGGAGTTATCTCAAACATGACAGTGAAATTTGCAGGGTTTTTTTGCTGGTCCTCTGCTTTGAAAAACTTGAGCTGATTTGCCTTGAGATCTCCTGTTGGAATGACAATAAAGTCTAATGTTGCAGTATTTAAAAATGCTTTCTTACCAGCTAAAAAGCTGGAGATTTGAGGCGCTCAGCAAACTGGCCTGCTCTGCTTACACTTGATCTTCATAGATTGCAAGTGGCAGTTGTTGATGGTCTCCAATAAACGGCGTAGTCTGGGGGCCACTCGCTGTTAAAAGGCAGGCGGCTGAAGAGAGGAACAAACACAGATCTACACGCGGGTGTAATGATATATGACAGCAATAACAAGCAATCAGTTTTCTTATTTTTGGCACAGATCTCCAGAAGCGTTTATCGGAGGTAGCGTTACTAAAATTAATGATACAGCAAAGCCATCTAACAAGCTCGGTTTTGAGAACCGCTTTAGTTCTCGATCTCTTGTGTTTCCTCATTTCCGTGTTTAACTGCAGTAGAAAGACAAATGGTTGTGACCTCCCTGTTACATTAAGCTTTGAGATAGGTATATACTGGAGAGGGCCAAAACATTAAAAAAACATAATGCACCCCCCACCCTCCCTGGATGCCTCGTAGTAGGTTCTTTAAAAGAAACCAACACCTGTTGAAATAGTTACTTCCATGTTTGGCACAAATCCCAAGCAAGCCTTTTTTTAACAACAAAAACATATGTACGGACCAGGCGAAAAGCACAGCTAGTTCTGATATTGTGCTTTTAGTGATCTGCAGCTATGAGTTAGAGGGGCTGTGACTCATTAAGTGATACCAGCGTGGAGCATTTCTCTAATTTCATGTATTGCTTAGAGAGCACTGGATTGTAATTGCACGTCAAAAGATTGCAAAAGAAAAGCTTTTTAGATGGGATCTTTTTGAACCGTTTGATACAGCACACTGTGAATATTTTATAAATCTTCGGGCTGAGGGGATTTATCTACCCTTTTGTTAAGAAAAAAACAACCAGCCACTTTGTGACTGGTATCTTGCCCGAATAGTTGAGGCTTTTGAGAGAGTGCCTGTTCCACAGAGAGGTTTAATCTCTAAGAGCCGTCTTGTAAGTTCTGGATTAACTCAGTCCCTCAGCTAAAGCATAAAGATTTTGGCTGTGTGTGTATTTGGAAATTGATGGCTTCTAGGGGAGATTCTGTGAATAAAGGGTATTTCAGTTGCTTTCCTAGGGGTAGTTTTAAAGTCGGAAGAATGCGTGTACAGTTTTCCTCGGCGTGATCTCATTTTCTCCTCCTCGGTTCAGGGACTGTTATAATATATATACACCCTCAAGTGTCGGCATGATATAAGCAGGCCGGTCCCTTTTCTGCCTGTGCTATCAGAGTGCGGTGCGGTATCTTCTCTGGCAACACCGCACAGCATCCCTGCTCGTGTTGTCACTCTGTTATCAGAGGACTCTGCATAGATCGCGTTGTCAACACGGAAAGTGCTAGCTCTTCCTTTGCTTTGCTAGAAACATCTTCACTCAACCTCAGGGCCTTTGTGGTAAAGCTGTAGAGGCAGGGCCACTCCTTCCAATCCTACCATTTCCGTTGCTTGAAGAAAGTGTAAGGTAAAAAACTACCCATGTAAACATCCAGTTTTGGGGATGCTGCATTTTCTAGTACTTTTCTAAACTTTGCTCTTCAAAATTCCGGCGTTGCAAGGCAAAGGCTTTCAGATCTATTTGAATGAAACTAAACCAGATTTGTTGATGTACACACTACAGTACCTTAGCAACCAACCTGCATCTAGTCCAAGATCTGAACATTTAGTCTTTAAACAATTCTTTGCTACCAATCTAGGAATGTTCTTTCCTTTTCAGAGTGCAAAAACAGCCAGTTGACATCTAGTGAGGAACAACATACATTATAAAATATGTACTCCTCCAGAGTGGGAGGAGAGGGAACTTATGTAAGCTCATTTCTTTGCTACTTTAATTGTAGTTTCTTGAGTCCCTGGAAGATGCATCCCTGGGAGCAGGATTGTTGTGTTCAGATTGCAAATTCTGCTTTATCAGTCTAAAATAGGGCTTTGGTGGCAGCATGGTATTAAATCTAGATGTGTTGTGTGGGAGCACCACAGAATTGAATGAGAAATTATTTTAATGTTGGTGCTACTAAACTAAAAAATTGAGAAAGGTCACTAACAAAAGGTTGATAAAAACCCATAGGTCTTACTAATGAGCTGTTGGGACAGTATAGTAGTCTGAAAGAAGTGACAATGAAAATAAGTTGATGTTTGAGTAGAAAAGAGCTTTCTCTCTTGCACGCTAGAAATGTATATGACTATGGGAAAGCATAGTAGAATATTTTAGTAGGGAAGTGTCAGTCACAACTGCAGAGTGATATCTGGCATTTAATGAAACTGCAGACTGTCACATTTCTTTTCATGTATACCTGCTCAGTAGAGAATTCTTTGCTGTTTTTTTCTTTAGTTGGTTGGGTGTTCTTTGAAAACTTGTGTCTCTGCCCTTTCCACAGGGCTTTTCCCAGTGCAAGAAACCAGAACACTTCCCTAATGTGGAAATCTGCAACTTGCTGTAACATCTCTGTTACCTAGATTGTTGTGAGGTTGAATGTTTTGTTAAACAGTATCCTCAATACACTAAATTAAGATGACTTTCTTATTTGTATATCACACGTGACCAGCCGGTTAATTTTGATATTAGAGTCATGATCAGACTGACACGGGTTTTTTATGTCCCGGTTTTCAGAATAGCAAGTGATGTAAGAACCATGTGGTTTCACGTGGTGGTTATTTGTTGGAAATTGAATACGATCGCTGACTATGAAGTTGATTTTTCTTCCATCATTTCATGCTATCACACAAGACCTGTCGTGGCAGTTTGCCAACTGTGCTTTGTGGAGAACGTTGACATTCACTTACTGAAATTGAATTCCTGATGATTATAGATGGTATCCATTCTTGGTGATAATGGACGTGGTGTCAAGTTGAGTCAGTTAAAACAGTTGAAAAATAAATGAGTTGCCTTTACACTTTCCTTCTTTTCTTTTAGTTACAGCTGCAGAAAACCCAATATTTGCAACTGGGACAGAGTCGTGGCCAGTACTACGGTGGGTCACTGCCAAATGTGAATCAGATTGGAAACAGTGCCATGGATCTCCCCTTCCAGGTGAGTTTAATAGGGTGTTTCTTTCTTTTTGTTCATTAATGCTGTGCCTGGATGCTATTTTTTCCTCACAGGAGACCATGAGCTAGCTGACGGTTCAGGACATAGCACCATGGCCTGAGCAGCTCACTCTGTTTTAAAAATTTTTGCTCTTTTGGAATGGAGTATAGTTGTGGGTGGGATGTGTGGATATTTTCATACTGGATGTTTCTAGTGTTAGATATCAGTTCTCCTGTCCCCAGTCGTGATGCTTTTGTGTCAACAATACACAGAGGCGATGAAATTTCTTTGTCAGTGAATATTCATGGTGGTGGTGGTGGTTTTTTTTTTTTGTTCAGTACCAAATTCATAATGAAATCTTCTGTGAAGATACTGTAGACTTGAAGCAAAAGTGGAAGGAAATGAGCGCTGGGAGATGGGGGTGTGGAAGAAGGTGCACCATGGTGGTGTGCGTGTTCCATGGGAGTAATGCATGGTCTCTGGGAGAGGAGAAGGGGAGTGGGACACAAACCAGTATCAGAATAGTCACTTTAATTTGGGCTGGCTGAAAGGTACATATAGGGATGTACTGGCTTTTTTTTTTCCCCCTGTTGTGACTCCACAGGTAATGCACTATAAACTGCAAATCAGTGTTTTATGTGAATGTTTTGCTGTTAATAAGCATGTTTGGACAGATGTTGTACAGTGGATAGCATTAGGTGATGGATACTTTTGGGACTCCTGATTTCTATAATTAGTTGATTTAGGGTTTTCAAAATAATTAGAATTTCTGCATTAGTTTTCCTTTTTCTGAGTAGTTACGTTTTACCGTAAGGATGTGATAAGAACTAAATTTTGCATTTTGTGGTTTTCTGATGAAAGCTGGCTTGATAAATATGGAGAAATTACTGATGATGTCCTCAAACCATGCCTTTTGAAATACATGTAGACAGCTGAATTTATGGAGGTTAAAAGCTTGAATCTTGTGCAAGAGGAGAAGCAAATGTCTATTTTAATCCGGTTGCCTTTAGGGAATACAGTGCAGAGGTTTGTAATGTTATGAAGTCCTTAGTAGTACTCCACAAGTGTCTTGTTCTCTTCAAGATTTTGTCCTTAGTTTCTTGCTAAGGAGGTTCATATTTACTATTCTTTTTAAGCAGTAGTATTTCAGTATTTTTGTGTTTGATGGCCATTACTGACAGTTGTTACTTAGACTCTTTTAGTCCTGAAACTAACAGAGTGCTTGAAAGTGAATGTTCAAAAATTTATGAATGACTGGGAAGAGGCTATGGAAACAAATTGTCCTTAAACTCCAGGTTTTTATATATTTTCACACACACACACACACACACACACAGATAACCAAAGATACTGTTACAGATAAATGGTGACAAGCAACAAAATAAACCCTTGTATTTATATTGGTGATGAACGCTATTCAGGTTTTTCAATGTTAAGCTAAAATACGATGAAATTGCCAAAAGATACTTGTACGATGTGCCGACCAGGTGAAGCCTGTCTGCTTGTCTCTGGTGACAGCGTCGGTGTCTGAGAATCTTGGTTCTTTGCATTTACAGCACAACGGAGCTCTGGCAGAAGCCTTTGGAGCAGTTCCTGTCTCTTTGGTAAACAAGTATTTAGGTTTGTGCAAATACGTATTTAGGACTGGTGTACTGTTTGCCCAGGTAGATACGTATTTTAGCACATGTTACACTTTTTTTCTGCTATGCACAGTATTTATTTGATTCACCGTCCCAGCTCCAAAGGAGTTATGGTCTGTCACATAAATACAGGTTTTGCCATGCATCCCAGTTTGGAACATGCATAATAATTCCTGTACAGACTCCCTGGACTTGCTATGGTCTGTCATGTGATTACTTATGATTTATGGGGGATTAATTTGATGCAGACGGTGGTTTATTTGGCACTGTCTTGGCCTGTGATTTAAGCAATCTCTGAGCATGTGCACTCAGCCTGCATGTTAAACTCCATCGGGAAAGGCAGAATGAATACCCAAATGCTGCTTGTCACCAGGAGGCACCGAAATGTAAACTGTCAGTAGGTACCACTCCTCTCTTTCCCCCTCACCCACCTTGCTCGCTTTTATTTCTTAAGTCAATGTCTTGATAAATCTTAAAGGGACACTGTTGCTTCAGAGCACTGAGCTTTTTCCTTCCTGTCTGTGAGTATTTAACTTTTTAAAATGTTTTGTGGAGTTTTGGTTCTGATCTCAAATCCTTGAACATTTTTTAGGGAAGAGAAACAGTTCTAGTTCTTTGTCTTCCAAATAAAATTGTTGCTCAGATCTGTTCTGGTCTTTTTAAATCACAGTTGTTTACTATAGTTAAGTATCTCGTGCCCTGCAGGGATGGGATGTTAGTGAAGGTACCTTGCCTGGTGTTTGGGATGGTTGCTGTGAGAAGACAGACCTGTTGGAGGTGATACCCATTTTCTTGAGTGTTTGCATTCTTTTCCGATTTCCCTAAGCAAGTTAGGGATTCACTTGGGATCCTTGTTCCTGGAAAGCCAGAGAGCAGCACTGCCCCAAACCTTGCTCTATAAATTGTAGCCCTGTGACGGGACGTGATCCATGTTTACTTGTGCCACTGTTGCACGCAAATTAGATTTTTTTGTTGTGTTTTTAATAGTGCAGTTTTGCCAAAAAAAAAGCAAAAACTTAATAACTATTTTTTGCATTCAGCTTTTTGTCTGTGTACTCATATGCGTTGGCTTCCTTTTAAATTCCAGGTGAGGTCTATGTTCTGTATGCTTCAGACTGGCTTCTCCTTTTTTAGTAACATTGTGGTTGAGACCACTGGCATAGGAAATTGCTTTTCCTGTTGACCGTCCAAGCACGCATGTATTTGCAAATTTTGCTGCCTTTTGGGGTAGAATTGATGTACCAACAGCACAAGGAAGAGTTTGAGACATTGTGTTGTTGTTTTGGATTTATAAATATTCCCAGTTCTGTGTGGTGCTAGTTAGGTAGAACTATATTATTGTTTAGTGTTTGCAGCAGAGATTAAACCAACATGTTTTAATTTAAATTACTTGAAGTTGAGATGCTATAACATGAGGTTTTTAAGTCTTCATACCAGAAAGTTATGCCTGCTACGAAACTGAAGCAAAACATCATGGTCTTAATGGCTGAGAGTACAATAAAAAGTCACTGTGCTCTCTTGCTAGTCCCATGTTGACTTAAGCAATATTCTTCTGCATATAAAGGGTTGGCCCAGAAATGAGAAAATAAACACCACAGCCACTTTGCATCCAGTTATATCAACGCAGGTTGTGTGTGCATAGAGGGAGACTAATATTTGCTAAATAGAAGAGTTTAAAATAGTAGAAAGACTCTTTAAAAAGTTATTACAAACAAAATATATAAAAATAAATGTAAAACTTTTTAGAAATAATAATTTAAGCAGTGAAAGATGGACATTTTTTTAAAAAAAAAAAAAGGTAGTAAAAAAAATTAATGTGGAGGCCAGATGGTTTCATGGCTTGGCAGACAGGACAGTGCATTTGCCACGTGCAGCACCTGAATGGAGGAGGAAATTTTGGATTTCCAAACAGATGGTGTTGAGGGACTCAGCAAAGCTGTTCACATTGGCAAGCAGTGGAAGACTGTGTAGTTTTTTTTCCCCTGAGACCCATATATTGCTGCTGAAGTATGAGTAGAGGTTGACCATTTGGTACTTCCTTTTCCCCCCCCGCAGGTATATACTGGGAAGGGCTTTTGAAAATGTAGGAAAAGGTTTCCAGTTTAGCCTGGGGATTCATCTTCCCCTGTCCCTTCTCTGCCATCCTCATTCTCTGAAATCACTTGCTGACAAGTAAGCGCTCTCAAGATATCGGCGCTGATAAAGATTCAAGGTGGAATCAACCCACCTTGATTCACCGTACGACCTGAATTAAATTAAAATAACTTAAAAAAAATATTGGATGCTGTAACTTTTTCTAGACAGAGGAGGAAGGAAACTGCTTTTCTTTTTCTTTCAATTCTATCAGTGTCCCCTTAAAATAATTATGCTGGAAGGAGGGGTGAAAGGAAGTTTTGAGAGAACGCGGCGTGTTCTGGTGAATGTTAGGCTCACTGTGCATCATCTTCCTGCATCTCCTGCCCTTGTAGTTTCAGCTCTGGTTGTCAGCATGTTCCTTCTGGATGCATGCTGCATGCTGCACCGAGGGAATGTAAACAGCCGTTGTCAGTAGGCTCCCTGCCACACTCACTTGTGGGATTTTAGCGATACAAAGGTTGGAGAGCAGTGCTGATTTATGGGAGGGCAGGTCTAGCATGGTCTGCCTCCGCTTGTCTCTAATCTCTGTCTGGAAGAGATAGCCTTGGTAATTGCTTTCCACGGCTCTAGTGAAATGTTGGTGGAGGGAAAGTTTACATGGTTACAGTTGTCCATATCTTTTTTGAGTTTCGTTTCTTAGAATAATACAGCCTTGCATACAGTATGAATAGCTTCTTGGCAGACTGCTCACGCACAGATATATATTTTTCTGCTTATAACTTCATGTGTCTCTCTCAGACTCCTTTTCAGTCGTCGGCGCTGGACACAAGCAGAACAACTCGGCATCATGGTCTGGTGGACAGGGTGTATCGTGACAGAAACCGTCTTGGCTCCCCGCATCGACGCCCTCTCTCTGTGGATAAACATGGAAGACAAATATCCTTTGGATTGTGAGCTGGCAGTGAACACCTGCCTTCTCAATAATATCACAGTTTTCAGTTTTTACGGTTCCCTTCTTCCTCCCCTCCTCACCTGTCAGCAGAGTTGCTTCCCATTTCAGTTAATGTCATCTGCTTTTTCTAAACTGTGATCTAGTCTATAAATACCTACTATTCTGTGAAGTAAGCATTTACCTTTCTCTGTTTCCTCAGCTCTAAGTGGGGATAATGATACACATGAAGCTGAGAGAGATTGAGATCCTGTGAAGAAAAAGGCAAGGCAGTCTTGGTGAAACTGAATTTCCCTTCAGAACTGAGTAAATCTGAACCAGAATAATTCTTTGCAGTTCATTGTGTATTTTATTACAAGTTGATTCATCAGTTTAGCGTTTGCCAAGTGCTATTTCTTCTTGTCATTTGTGAAAATGAATTAGCTTGTTATTTCTGACTGGCTTAAAATGTGCTGCAATGACACTGGCTTGATGGGGCTAAAGGGGATGTGTGAGTGGGAGAGTGGAGGGATGGCGGCTTCTCGGGAAGAGTTAGATGCTTAGAAAGGGAAAAGGAGGATGGTTGTCCTGTTGCTCAAACATTACAACAGTCCAGATGATACTTTGTTTTGAGTGTCCTTTTAAAGCCAGTATGTTCCCCACAGGGAATCGGCTTGCCTTTCTCATGTGAGTTCAGCGGTTCTGACAAGGTAATCTGAATTATTCCTTAGGAAAAGATTTCAAATAGGCCTCCTACTTAAGTGAGAAAGTGGTGTTCTGCCCCTTAACTGATGGAATCACGTGGACAGCTGTCCGTACGGCACTGTGTATCTGTCGCCTCCATCAGACACAAGCTGGAGAAGGTCAGTAGCACAGTCGTGTGCGTGTGAGCGAGGAGTTGGACTACGCTCTCTGAGACTGCAGCACTTTCATGTGCAACAAAGGCCTTTATTGTTCCCCACAGCAGCTGGTCATCTGAATTGCTATGCCTTCCTGAATTTAGAAATGGATTTTTTCTTCTATTATGCTTATTCTTTTAGATCACCCGCTTTTAAAATTAAGGTGTGTCAGCTAATGTGATCTTTCCAAAGGTAAATATTGCCAGATGTTCCCAGGCATACCTCAGAATTGTTGAGTTGTAAAAGACTTGAATATTTCTCACTGCACAGGAACTGGGTTAGCCTGCCCTCAGGAGCGTTCGAGTGGAAAGGAGCACTGCAATGCCTGTTCCTACCCCTCGTGCTCCTGACACTGGAGATGCAGCATTGCCTGCGTGGTGGCCTGCGTTCTCCTGAGGGATGTGTTGCCTGTGGAGCTTCCCATCTCCACAACATACTCGCATCCTGAACCAGTCATTTTCCCTCCCTATGAAACAGGGATGCTTTCTTTTCAAAGACTAGTATAACCAAAGTATGTATGAGCAGCTTTCAACTTAAAAATGGCATTATTTGATCATGTGTAATATTAACAAAGCATATAAAATTATTTTCTAAAGATGGCAACCAACTTATCCTGTATTCCTCTCAATCCCACTATTGAAACAACTGCTCTTCAAACTTGAACTAATTTATTCTGCGAATTGATTGTTTCACAAGGAAATTGTGCCTGGTATATGCCATATATAGATTTCATTTTGTTCATGCAGAGTATTCATATTTTACTGAGTTGGTTACATTTATATGAGAATAAGCATTCTTTTATTTAGAGAAACTGACAACAAATTTTTTTTTTTTTTTTTTTTTCCTTCCTTTCAGGACAAATTCTGATTCTGCCTTGCACCAGAGTACTATGACTCCAGCTCAACAGGAATCTTTTTCAGGAGGGTCACAGGACATGCAGCAGAAAAGAGGTAAAACAGAGAAGAACAATAAAAATATTTATAACATTCAAAGCATTGTACTTCAGATTATATGCACATATATTGGTGTTCATCTATTTCTATAAATACATGTATACCTAATGCTTTCTAGATTCAGTTACACAGGAATCAGAACAAAGGACCACGTTTACTCTTCTGGGTACTGAAATCCAGACAAGATTATACAAAGTTAAGACAGAACATTTTCCTGAACCCCATATTCTGTTATTCTAAAACCTTGCCCTGTGGGGAAAAGTAATCTGGGCTTGTGGGACTCTGGTGGTTAGACCGCTCTCAGCGGTACTCGGGGTTTGCCATTTGTAGGAGCTTTAGACAAGTGTAGAGATCGCAGGCATTTCATGGTCGGTGATACAATATTGTAAAGTAGCAAGACTTCATCTAGTTTTTATCTATGGGATTGAGGTCACCAGTGAATATACCCTCAGAGGCAATGCTTACGAACAGTGCTCTCTGACATTTTTAGTTACAAGCGGGAGCAGCACAGCCCGTCGGCACCAACAATTCTGGTGCCCTCTGCTGGCCCCTGTTCCTGCTGTCAGTTCAAGAAATACTTTAAAAGCTCTCAAATCTGTGTAGAGAAATTTAATCCTTAAACAACCATGTGGAGGTAGGTGAACGCGCAACATTCAGATGCATATGTGCTGTATTGCAGCTCTTCCATACCCATCTAGAGCTGTAAAACATTAAATAATGATCGTCTTAAACAGGATTGCGTAACTATGGATTTGCAGTCATTGGTGTGAAAGGCTTCTGTTGCTACATCCTCTGATGGGGTTTTCTTTTGATGTTTCTTTGTCACCTTACTATTATCATGATGAAACAGTTGTTTGCTGCTTGGAACAAACCGATGTGCTTGGGATATGGAGAAGTAACAGCTTTATAGCGTTTCTCTATCTCAGAGGAGATGGTCTGGATTTTTCCCCACTGGAATTGTCCTGTTGGCCACTGGTTAGATGTACCAGGTGTACATCACTTGTGCAAAATGCAAAAGATAGGACAGACTGGGCCCCAAGACACACTCTTCCATTTAGATCTAAGCAGACTAAATCGGAGGCCAAATTTTTTAAAAGTATTATTTGGTGGGTTTTTTTTTAAACTGATAATGTCTTCTTGCTAATTAAGTACAATTTTAGTCTCTTCTGGTGCTTGTTTTTTTAAATTTTCATCTCATAACAGTAGCATGCCACTGTTTCATATGCATTGATAATAGCTTCCTTAAGAGTTTTCAAGTGGTTAAACTTCCAATCTGAAAATTTCTTACTGAGAAACTTAATATTGTGATATGATGCCCTTTGCTCTCGTTTTTTAGTGTTATTACTGACTGTCCCTGGAATGGAGGAGACCACCTCTGAGGCAGACAAAACCCTCTCTAAGCAAGGATGGGACACTAAAAAGGTAGGAATCTCACATTTCAAAGTGTAGAGATTTTATTTTCTAAACATATTTAGGTAAATTAATGCTCTAAATATTGTCAAGCAAAACAAACCGCTTGCAGAGATTAGGGATTCAATGCTGTATTTTTATATGTATGCGTGCATGCACATGTTTGATTATATTGGGAGAAACTTTAAATTTGATCTGTGTTGGGCCAATAAAGCAAAAAAGGTCACAAATATCTTCTAAGAGCTTCACAGCACTCTTGCATAGAATAGCTCTTCTGTAGAAATGTATCAAGTTAAATAAAACTTACTAATTGAACTATATCCTCAGCATTAATCTCTAGCAGTATCTTTGCCTTTAAAAATGTCTTCCTTCTGTTTTAGACTGGGTCATCAAGACCTAAATCATGTGAAGTTCCAGGAATCAAGTAAGTTTTGAGGAATTTTTTTTTAAAGGGCATTGAGATCTTTAAGAAAGAATGTTGTATATTGAATGTGCCGTTGCTTTTGAGTTTTTGGAAAAGCCCTTACATGGTATAGCACTGCAATAGTTACAAGACAAGTCAGAACCTCTATGAGTGACCCCTTGGCTGTTACATCTCTGATTAATTTATCAGAAATACAGTATATAGTTCTGTATGTGGCACCTTTTCTTTTTAAAAAAGATTTTACAAAGATCTGTCCAGGCTGAAATTTAAATTGAGACGTGTCTTTTTTTCTTTCCCCCCCCCCTCCCCCCTCTCTCCCTTATTTAGCATCTTTCCATCAGCTGACCAGGAAAACACTACAACACTGATTCCTGCTACACATAACACAGGTGGCTCCCTGCCAGACCTGACAAACATCCATTTCCCTTCCCCTCTCCCAACACCGTTAGATCCCGAGGAATCCACATTCCCGGCCCTGAGTAGCTCCAATAGTACCGGAAATCTTGCTGCCAATCTGACTCACTTGGGCATCAGCACTGCCAATCAGGGTAAGATCATAACTCTGAGGTGTTTTTACAAATTGTCCATAATATGTCACTTGTCTTAAGTTATGGAAGCTGCATTGCTGAATAGTACTGTTTTGTCTGAGAGGTAATTGCACTTCACTGTTGATTGACATTTCTCTGTAAACAAGTTTTATCAAGCCGTTTCTGTACAAAAAAGTGAGAAAGCTGTATTTAGTTATATGACTTACAAATTGTCTTTCATTTTTCTCATGTTCCTAGTGCCCAAATCTGCTTTTTTTTTTTTTTTTTTGGTTTATTTTATGCATAAGACTACAGGAGACACTAGCATCCAAAGCGTTCCTCCCTTGTAATTCATTGTACTTAACCCCAACAGAACTTGTGTTATGGAAATTCTTAAGTAGGCCTTTTGTTTTCATTTCTGTAGAATGGCTTTTTTTCAGCGTGAGGATTCTTTTGGAGAGAGAACATTGCTTGCTTCATCTGAAGCAAATTTTTACTTTTGAGCAGTCAAGAATAATGCGGAGCCTCCACAAGGCGTGCTGGTTTTTGTAAGCTTGACTGCTCAAGTTTTGAAAATACCCTGAATATTCAGGCTACATAATATAGCGGAGCTTTGGGTAATACTACCAAGTGCACACCTGAGTTTTTCTCACAGCTTTCACTATGGTGCCTTTGTGTTGAAACTGTTGCTTTCCTAGCAGTGTAGTTTTTGTTGTAAATTCTTCTCTAGAAGAACTGTTCAGCATGGCGAGTCTGAGTTCTGTTTGTGGGGGTTTTCGGAATTTGGCAATACTGATAATTTTATTTAAAAAAACCCCTCCACAAATAAACATTACTTGCCATGCTGGCAATTTAGAATATTCGTACTAATCATCTGATAATTTCAGGACGTGTTAAGTGTATAGACAAACAGCCTAAACTGGTGATTGTTGTTTTTTAAATAATTTGACTGGGTCATACTCGAATGGTTGTGAAGAGGGTTGCATTTTTTTATTGTCAGTGACAGATGCAGTCAGTTGATTCCTAGAATAGAAATGAGGCATTGTATCCAAAAATACAAGTATATTTCCTGTGTTAGGCAGGCTTCCCTTACCCACTTAAAAATCCTCTCATATATTGGGAAAAGGAAATAATTCTAATCAGGTTAATGTATTGTTATGACTGAGCTGTTATATTTGAGAATGAAGCAAGAAGTTGGTTTAACCATTTGAGTACAGAGTCAGTCAGCAGCTTTCAGCATCCTTTAACAAGCTTTCTGGTCTCAAAAGAGACTAGACAGCATTTCAGGGATGGGCTGTCACTCAAGTAGAACTCAGTGAGTCTGTGCTGAGAGCACTATTATGTGTATAAAAAGAAACAAACTACTTGCATGGAGTTAGGCCAGATTGGGTCGCTACGTTTTTTGCTGTACCCATAATTAGCAAAGTAAACGGTATAAAACCAAACTGGTAAGTATGCAGTTGCTTTGAAAACATTTCTGATCTATCAAAGACATAACAAATTCGGAAGATATACTCATCGATGATTTTCCTGCTTCTCTTTGGAGACTATCCCATAGTTTAATCATTGGCATAGTCAGTGTTTGGTGCTTTTTAAACTGATTTTTTCAAACTCTCCTTGCCTTTCTTTATCTTCTAGTCCCTTAGCAGAGAACGTAAAGGCTTTTGAACCTTTTGCAGGAGCTCTGTGCGTTGCACAGGCCTGTCTTCAGCAGCCCCAAGAAAAGGTGGGGAAACAAACACCTGTCAGGTCACAAAGAACTGCCGGCAATTTAAGACTACACATTTGTGCATTTGAGTTTGTCAGTTCGCTGACATGTTCCGTGAGACGGTGTTGATTTTGAAAACATGGCAGGGAAAGCCAGGCAGTCTTCAGAATCTGCGCGGTTTGAGCCAGTTTGCCTGCTGGCTCCTTGGCAGCCCGGACTTCCTGGCTCCCTGGCAGCCTGCCTGGAAGCCCTGAACACTTGCCAAGTGCCTAGGAGCTCGCAGGCTCTTGTGAATTCCTCCTTTCTGGCAGCTCTGGAAGAACAGCTCACTAGCTAGATTGTCCTGAAATCACTTTCCAGGGTGTCTCGGTTCCTCTAGGGTGAGGCAGAAAATAAGAGAGGTTTCAAAACTTCCAGACTTTGGTCTTGAATTTGAACACAATTACAATACTCGAATTGTTTATCACTACTCCCTGCTAGGTCATGGCTCTTTAGAGTGTGAAGGATATTTCCTGCCTTCCTGTGCACGGGTATGCCATTAAAAATGGAGTATTTCCTGTGCAACCAGTTTTTCTTCTGCATTTGCTTTTATAATGTCAGAGAATCCTAGAATGGTTTGAGTTGGAATGGACCTTAAAGATCATCTGCCACGGGCAGGGACACCATCCACCAGATCAGGCTGCTTAAAGCCCCATCCAGTCTGGCTCTGAACGCTTCTGGGCAGGGGCAGCCACAATCTCTCTGGGCAACCTGTTCCAGTGCCTCACCACCCTCACAGGAAATGATTTCTTCCTAATATCTAATCTAAATCTACCCTCTTTCAGTTTAAAATCATTACCCCTCGTCCTATTGCTAAAGATAAGGAGTCCCTGATAGAAGAATCCCTTCCCCATCTTTCCCATGGGCCCCCTTTAAGTACTGGAAGGAAGTTCCCATATCTCAAGTGCCCTCTGATGAGTCTCGTTACATGATCTGTTATCTTCTTCCTGAATTTTGAGCCCTTACAAATAGATCAGGCCGTGCTTTTCCTGGGTTCAACGCGGGCAGCCCAGGAGGGGTGCGAGGACAATACTTATGGTTTCTGTAAACTGCTGAAGCTGCTCTGCCTGTTTCAATCTCGACTCGGTATTTGTGCACAAACCTGAAAAACCGTGACTGGTTTTGGTCCAGGAGAAATCACAGGGATCTTCCTCTCATCCTGATGTTCTTCTGCCTGACAAAATTAATTGCAAATTACCTAACGAGTTTCAGCCTGATGGCCCAGGCGCAGTCAGCACTTTGCATTAAGTGGTTGTCCACTTACACCATTCATTTTTCATCGTTTAGGTAATTACCTCCATACAAGTATCAATAAACCATTGCCGTGTTCCTGTTTAAGCTGGTTTGTTCCTGGCAGGAATGACAACGACGCCAGCCCCTTCCCAGCAGCACCGTCAGCCAGCCGTCAGTCCTCTCTCGTTGAGTGCAGACTCAAGACGACCACAGTCACAGCAAATGTCTCCTACGCTTTCCCCTTTGTCACCAATTACTCAGGTAGGAACTCACTTGGAGAATTAAAATTTTTCAATCACAGATTAATTATTTTACCCAGGGAGAAGCTGGCTGTAACTTCATCTCTCTTTGTTCTGTTATTTTCTTCTTCAAATGCGTTCGTTGATTCAGGGCCTTAAAAGGGAGAGGTTTGTAGAGGGGACAGATTTTACTTTTGCTTTGCTAGAACAGTGGTAAAAAACTTCTGTTAGGACACTTTTCTGTAAGTGTATTGTCCCAAAGTTAGTTGTGAAATTTGAAAGAAATTTCTCTAATTGGTAAGAGAAGCTCAAATACCTTTTTAAATTGATTTCATAAGTGTGACTCTGCGACTGACTAGGTTATCTGTTTCGGAGCTGACGTTCAACTGGGCTTTTAGAATATTCGTTCATTGTACACTGGAGGTGATATTAAGACTTTTGAAGCATGTTCTTGACATGTTTCTGAACCTTTAGGTAACATTTCTTTAAAATGTGAGATGAGATTGACTAAGTACAGTTCTCTTGACATGAAACTTGATGTGCTTAAACATAAAAGGGAAATAATCACCTGCCAGCATGGATGATTTTGATTCTTCTTTTCAAGGCCGTGGCTATGGATGCATTGTCTCTGGAGCAGCAGCTTCCCCCATACCCATTTTTTACCCAGACAACCTCCCAGCAACAGCAGCAGACCCAGGTGGCAAGTACCCTGCCTCAGAATACTCCTTTAATGCAGACCTCTGGTTTACAGCGAGGAACACAACTCCCCCCGCTCTCCGTCACGGTACCTTCTTCCATCCCCCAGTCACCTCCGGGTAGCCAGACCCAGCCATCAGTGGGAATAGACATCAACTCGGTAAGCGGGGCGCAGCTGGAAGCGGTGGCGCTTTCGTTGGGAAAGCCTGGTAGCATACAGCTGGTGTCAGAGATCGAGCTGGACAGCCCCTGTAATAAGTGCGCTTTTAGGCAAAGTCTGAAGTAGACTTAGAATGGTTTTGGTCGAATCCACGTTTAAATGTTTTATAGAGGAAAATTTGGTTTTAATATATGCTTAGGGTGGCCGTCGCTTCATTAAAAGGTGCCCTTTATGACTCCGTGTTTGATTAGACCAGCTTAAATATGTCAGCGTTTATTTCATAGCTTGCTGCTGCCGTTGCATTGATACATCTTCAGGCTGTTAAGTGCAGTGCACCCCCAACACGTTCTGAGTTATACAGTGTGCTATAGACTGGAGGAGTTAACAGAATCTTGATAAAGAAAGCTGCTAACAAGCATTTTCCAAAAGTTGGAGACAACCAGGTATTTCCTATACTTTCTATATTTAGAACCCTTCCATTTTAAGGGATTTTAAAGCATACGTTATTATCTTCAGAAATTGGATTTGTGCTGCCTTCAGATGCCCAGAAGGAATGGAGTGTATACATACATATACCGATGATTTATGGACAGATTTCTTTTCTTGCTTGTTTTAACATGGTCTGTTACGAAATGTTCTGTCTGTCTGAGCATATGAAAATCCAAAATGCAGATCAGGATCAGGGTTACAGGCTAGCTAGGGAGGAATTTCACAGCTCGTTCTCTGCTCATTCTGCCCTGCTGTGTAGGATCTTGGTTGTCTGACCTGTTGTGTCCTCTGGCAGTGTTGTGGTGACAGTAATTGGTTTGAGAATGAGAAGAAATCGTTGTCTATTGATCTAGCACTTCATCATGGATTTAATTTATGGATTAAATTTTTAACCATTTGCACTGATAAGTGCTTCTTGAAAGAAGCCGCTTCCCTTTCAGGATTGGAAAGGGAAGAGGGAAGGACAAATCCAGCAGTAGGAGGGATACCGACCCACTCAAAATGTGTCCCAGTATTTTGGTTCTAATGCTCACATAGCTACCAGTACAGATGATCCTGATTTTCAGTCTTTGCTTTCTGTGTGGCTTTCTTCATCTTGAACTTCTTTATGAACTTAACTTTTAGGCTGCTGTGCTTGTCTTTCAAAGCAACTGAAATCATACATAAATAAACTTAAATGTAAAGCTAGTTTATCAAAAACTCTTTGAGCTGCGTTACAGTCTCACGGACAACTCTTATGCAGTTTTTGTAAAGCAGTATAGAAATTCATTTTGCTGTAGCTTGGACGTCTGCTTAAAGTGCGTAAGTAGCAATGCATTGCGAAAAGTGTTAGGACATATTTTCTGGAGATTTACAGAATTTGGTGTCAGAAAGCATTGGTAGTACAGCGTCCTCCCACATTGCAAAGCCAACTGATTAAATTACTCCTTTTTGTAGAACGACTGGATTGCAGGTTTTTGTCAGTCATCTGTTAGTTTCTAAAGGAAATATCAGAAGAGCTGCTCTTAGTGTTTATGTTTATAAGTACAACATTCAATTTAAATGCCATCAAGATTATGAACTTGTTCAAATCCAGGGTTTTTTTTTATGACAAAAAAAAGGCAAATCTTTGAAAATGTGGTCTCAAGATGACTGAGAACAATGTAAATATAACTAACATAAACCTGCAAAACATAGTGTGAATTCTTAGACAATGTCTGTTCCATGTCCTGGGGTAAAATGCAGCTTTGAGAAAGATTTCAGTCTGCATGGTTCTACACTTCAATCTTGATAACGCACCCAGGCTATTTAAGACTAGGCAGAGTGATATGAAAAGGATTTCCAGAGCAATATAAACATGGGTTAAGAATGTGTGGGTATGGCAGTTGAATTGAAGAATAAATTACATTATCTTTGAGTTATTCTCAGCTTTCAGGACTTCTTTTTCCTAAGTCACTGGCTGACCAGATTTTTTTTTTTTTAATTGAACGTAGCTGAGAACAGTGAGAAAACACTTGAACAGTTTTGCTGGTACAACAGCACTGCCCTGCTCTCAGCCATTCAGGCAGACAAGACCATGCCACGCTGATACCTTAACTCTCCTTTTTGGGGCATTGTTCACAGTAATTGTGTCTTCATACATAGCCAGGAGTTGCTGAAGAGGATGGTTTCTCCCAGCTTCCTCAAGCTGTATACGCCAGAAGTTTATAATTTTCCAACCTTCCATCAATCCCATGGTCTTTAATTCTGTGTTGTTCTGTAGGCTTCACTCCAGCAGTACCGCAGTAATGCTGGATCCCCAGCCAACCAGTCTCCCACCTCTCCTGTCTCCAATCAAGGCTTCTCTCCTGGCAGCTCCCCTCAAGTAAGGGACTCTGTGCTTCCACAGGCCTTGCTTCTTGTGTTTGTTTTCAGTTGAGTCTCTCCATTACTGACCCATAGTTGTCTCACTGTAATTGTATGTGCCTCATGCATTACTGATGTCTCATCTCGTTTGCAGTTTCATTCAGTTCCAGAGTTTTTCAATAGCTGGTGAATTGCCTTTTTTTATTGATCAAAGCTGTGATTTGAACGCTATTAAAACTCAGTTATTTCTTGGGGGTGTACCGTGGACAGGACCTCCAGGTAGAGCCCTTTCAATTAGCAACGTGGTGTAGGAGCTGACAGATGAGGTTGGGAGGGCAGGGGAGAGAGAGAGGGAAACGTAAGTGCCTCACGCAGCCCGGTAACTCCTGTGGCACTAAATATCCCCGGTGTGGCCAAATGCATTTACATCAGGACCTTTGTTTCACATGGAAACATACACTTTAAAAGAAAACACTAGAGAAAATGCTCTTAAAATTGGCCGTTGTATCTTGTGGCTTACAAGTAATGGGTTAGTAAACACGCTTTCTTGCATGTGAGCTGGTTTTTCTTCCTGTGTATGCATATACTCATACATCCACGTGTCCTATATCCAAGTCATAGCTTGGGGTGTGTGCAATCCTATGAAGGGGGGATTTTTATCTGCCAGCAGCAAAGACAGGTAAAAACAAGGCAGTCTTTGGGGGTGCCCCTAATGCAAGGAGTGAGTGCATTTTCAGTATAGAAATAAGCTGTTGCTGCTAAAATAGCTCCATATGGCTGCCCTTTTCCTAAATCCCACCGTGTAGAAACAAGGTGCAGGAAATTCTTCCAGAGCATCACAACAGAGTCTGAAAATACATTTTCTGTTTCATCATTTAACGTTTAAGGCTGTAAGGAGGATCCTATCTAAATAAGTGCTGCCCCTTCATGGTTCCAAAGCAGAAGCTTCGTCTCTCCTTGCCATTAGCCAGAGACAGGTCACTGGTAAGCTCAGTAATAGATCTGAGTGTCAGGACTGTCTGGATTTTCTTAACCCTTGCTTAATTGCTTCTTAACTTCTCTCTCTTCTGCCCGCTTCTGCCAGTTCTGCTGTATTCTGTGTGTGGCTCAAAGAAAAGAAGCAAACTTATTCCTCTAGGCTGTCATGTAGAGCAAAGCTGTTGCCAGTCTTGCTGCAAATTCTCAGGTCCAGTTCTCCTTTGGGCAGTGCATCCGATTTTGATTTCTGCATTGATTTTCTTTCCCCCATGACTTCTCAATAGCTCTTTCTTGGTTTTGGCCAGAGACTGGTTGCCACTGCTCAGTCCAAAGTACTGGAGTGCAGCCAGCTCTCACCAGTGGAGCGCACGCTTGAATATTGTTTTTCCTGCTGGGCCTGTTTTGTCCTGTAAACTCTTGCTTAGGTTCTGCTGTTTTCAAGTGGGACACCACAACTCTGCATGAAAGGAAGAGTTTATTATTACTGCTTTCTTTAGTATTGGCCTCTTAAAAATACCCACACAAATCTTTATTTTTGCTAAATTAAAAATGAGACAGCTTTCCTGCCTCCATCAATGAACCAAAAGCCAGCAGTGGCGAGCGAGCTATCTGTGGTGGTGGTCGCAAATATTAAGTGTGAAGAGAAGCAATGGGGGAAGAAAAAACAGATTGGAAGAAAAATTTGGGTTGGTTGTGATTATGGAGGCATCTCCCAAATAGTACCATCCATTAGACTGTAGAGTAATCTGCCAAAAATAAAGGCAGATTGGTTCCAACAGCAGAATGTGCCCATTGTGGAACAGTCTGGCACTGGCTGACAAGAGTGGAATAAAGTAGGTGTGACCGGGTAGGCGTCCTCCACTTGCTCCTGTTCCTCTGATTAATTTTAGGTTAAATCGTTCTGCAGCATATCAGTATGATGAGTGACGTGCTCTAAAAATAGAAGCCTGTGGTTTGATTTCTATCACATACGGTTCATTCACCAGAAGTTATTTTTCATCTTTCCACATCTCCACATCTATTTGCTCTTGTGTTTTAGATGTGTGTTTGTGATGAAGGTCTTCCTGTTCAAACACGAATTGAAAAGCTCTGCTCGTAGTTCTCAGCTTTGTGTTTGCATGGCTTTTCATTGACAGTGGCTTGTTTATTACTACCTCGCTTTTCTCCTCTAACACCTGGCATACTGTTCCAATTAGACAGAAATCTGCTTTTTTCAGTAGAATGGCTGTATACTGGATAATGTGGTATGTATTTTTAGATTAATAATTTAAGCCAGGGGTTTTGTGGTTTGGTCTTCTTTTTTCCTTGCAGTCACCACATCATTAACCCAAGAAGATGTACTGTTGACAAAACAGACCTCATCTAGTGTTTCTGGTGGAGATGGTGTTAGCAAGATGTTTTTCACAGAGTTGTCAATAAATTATTCTAGGACTGTGAAGTGTTGAAGTAATGACATTTCCAGTTGATTTCCTTTGGGAGTTTCAGTGCTTACAGATGTAGTAACCGGTATACTTCAGAGCTGAGGAATAAATCCGAGCTTGTATGTTTTGTTAGGAGTTACTAATGTAGACTTGCACAAATAGATTTTGGTCTCCTCTTTGTTATTTTTTATGTTGACCAAACTTTTTAGGATGGGAACGATACTTAGTGGAATGCAAAGATTTTAGGTTTTGCCCTACTACTGAAACGCTCCTGTAACAGTGAAATGTCAGAAGTTAAAGGCGAAGAAAAAAAATCCTTGATCCTCTTTGGAGCTCTCAAGTAACAATTGTATTTCAAGTGCTGGTCCAAGCTGGCTTTGATCCATGTTGGGAATGTGACATCCCGAAGCGCAAATTTTTTTATTAGGGTTTGTTATAAAACATGGCGCAGTTCTGAAGCCGTGCCTGCCACTTAAGGTGGGAACAATTCTCCTGTGATAGAGTTAAGCTGGGCTGGTCCTGATCTGCTTGCTTGAGTTAGCTCTAGGTTCTGACTCCAGTTTTATTTTTAGAAGAAAGTAACACGTGTAGCAGGTTGAGTAATGCGGGGATTGGGTAGCTGATCAAAGCGTGACTGGGCAGCAAGTAAGTTATTGATGGTTTAAAGAAAAGTGTGCTGTTTTTGTTTAAGTAGTGCTTTGCCTTTTCTCTTACTAGGTCTAATGTGGCTCTTGCTTGTGTTGTTTGATAACTTCCTTGTAGCTCTGTCTCATGCAAGGTATAGAGAAGCCACGGTAGTTTTGAGGACCAGTTGATAAATTGGAAGATGGGATTCCAATAATAACCGTTTTCTCTTTTTACCTGCTTCTAAGGAGGGCATTGAGTGGGGTGTTAAGCTGCAAAGGTGGCATTATTATTCTGTGGTCATTGCTGTGAGAGATCATAAATGCCCACTAAAGTGTATCAAAATCTTATTTTTGTCCATAAACCCCCTATTCTTGGCTCAGACTCTGTTTAATCAGCCTTGAGGATGAGCTGGCTTCATTTAGCGAAACCATTTCTTACTGAGAAGTCGCTGTTGCGGTGTTTTCTGACGAAGATTCGGAGGCAGCTGCCTGCTGCCCTTCCTGACTCTGCCAGCATCCCGCTCCAGCGCGGAGGGGCTTGCGACGTTCCCCAGCAGCGCTGCTCTGCGGCGAATTTCTCTCTTCCCCAAGTGCGTTCAAAGCTTCCCGGGGTGCCCGGGGCGGTTCTTGGACCAAACGGGACCCGCTCAGCCAGGAGTTTCGTAGCACGCGCAGCGTGTGCTGAACTTTCGGCCACCTTCCCCCACGAAGTCTCGTTCTGGGGCCGTGAATTCCTCCCTCGGCGCCACATTTATCCCAAAACCTCTCTATAATGTGATAGCCGAGGATTCTGGCTGAAGGTGGGAAGGTTTTTGTTTGCTTTAAAAAGAATATTTTGTTGCTTCATTCCCGATAGTCGCCTCTCACGGAGGTTGTGGGCAATTTGGTTTTTTGGTTGGTTTTTATTTGGTTGGTTTCTTTTTTCATGCAAGACTTCCATCCTTTTCCTTGCATGTAACCTGCAAATAAGCTGCGCTGAGATATGCTACTGATGGAGGAGGGAGAATGTTTAAAATGTGATGTTTGCTGAAATTTTTATGTTCACTGTTGTGGACATGATCCAGTGTTTTTTTGAGTATCCTTGGCTGTGTTCAGTGCTTTTAACTGTGGTGGCTGGTATAACTCTGTTCTGGTATTTCCTAGGCTTTTGCTTAATTTCATGTGCTGCTTAGGTTTTCAAGGAGAAAATTTGTAACCTTCCTCTTTTAACGTGTTGATAAACCAGCTGGAAAATGCTATGCAAGGTATTGAATTTTTTTTTTTTCAAGATTGATATAAACTCACCACGTAAATTGTCTTTTATAGACAGCATCTTTTGTAGATGCTCTCTGTAGATTTTTTTTATTTTTTTTTTTTTCAGCTGGAGTATCAGAATTTATGACTGTTTTAATTAAGAAGTGATCTCTCTGTGATTTCTTTTATCACTGGCAATTCTTTGGGACAGTACTGAGTAGCATTAAAACATTGACCTCAAATTCTTCGCTACCTTTAGAACAATTGATAAATGATGGAGAATAACGGATAAATGCTTGTCGTGATAGAGGGGACAGTGGAATTAGGAAGGCCGAGGAATTCCTCCCGAGATTCTCGCCTTCGAACTGCTGATAACATGCTTTACCGGGCTTTCTCGTTAACTTTTCTGATCTGCTGCAGCTAAAGAGAAATGACTTTTAAAATGTCAGGTTTGTCGTGGCATGTTGTTGTCTCGGTGGAGCTGGCTGTTGGTGAACACGAGGTTGCAGAGACAGCGAGCTGGTCACTGCCTGCACGCTGGCAATCAGCTTTGCATTGCATTTTGTTTTAACGTGCAGTTTACTTCCATGTGGGGTTTGTCTTTAACCCAGAAAAAAAAAGTTCACAAAAAAGCCAAAGTTGCAGAGTGATTTTTTTTTTAAATTTTTTTTTTTTTTTTTCAATTTCTCGTGTTATCTAGCACACTCGTCTGTTTTCATAAATCAGAAGTTTTATATGTTGTATGTCCTCCGTGAGGAAGTTTGTTTGGTTTACTCGACTGTATTTTTGTGCTTACCAAAAGGCAGCGTAACGTGGAAGGATTTGTGTGTTGGAGGGAAATACTGACTGTTTTACGAATTTGCTGATGGTTAGTGGTGGTTAATAATAAAGGGCACTGCTAACTAACTTTTGAGAAGAATTGGTCGCAAGGCTCGAGGCACTCGCACACCGTGGGTACGTCTGTTTGTGAGATTTTTGCACCATAAAGACTCTGTTTTGTTTTCAGCATTCTTCCATTCTGGGGAGTGTATTTGGTGACTCCTATTATGATCAGCAGATGACAGCTAGGCAGGCTAATGCCCTATCCCATCAGGTGAGCAAATTCATCTCAGATTTTCAGCTGTATTTCGGCCACTTTCAGATTAAAATAAATATAGATCAACTTCTGATTATTTTATGTGAGATCACATTTTTGTCCATGTAGTTTTACTTCTGTTACTTTTAGTTTGCAATACTCAGGGATTTATTTTCTGGGGTTTTTTTTGTTTGTTTGGTTGGTTTGGTTTTTTGTTTTGTATTTTGTTTTGTTTTGTTTTCTTATTTTCCCCCCCAGTCTTCCTTCCCCTTCCTCCCTCTTAGCCATTGTAGCAGATGTTTATAAAGGTGTTCGGCCAAGTTTATTGGATTAAAAATAGTGAAAATAGATTTTAAAACCCCCACATCTCTGGCCATAGTTGCATTTGGGAAGGATTCACTTGCAGGTGGTAACAATATGTGCTCCAGAATTTGGCAAACAACTTGTGCATGGTACCAAGACGTAGCAAGCAGGATTCTGCGTTCCTTAGTTTGGCCAACCAGTGCACTGATTCATTCAACTGTGAAATGTGCTCTGGTAGCAGGGAAAAATCAGGCAGCTTTTGAGAGGCAGTGCTTGATGGGCAGATACCTGACTTAGTAGTATGAATTACGGGGTTTTTTACTTTGTTTTAAAGCTACCTTTTCTTTTGTTCTTACGGTATTGAACGCAACAATTTTATTTTTGCATCCACCCTCTCCTCATTGCCCTGCCCTCTGAATTTGGCAGTAAACTATTCTGGAAAGTTAAGTGAAAATAGACCATATTTTGATCAACGAAACCTAAAGATGAATTTGTTTGCCTGTCTCTTTCAACGTTACTTCCCGTACTTGAGCTTTGTAAGTTGTTTTGCTGTATTTCCTCTTGATGGTAGAAGTAATAATTCCTTTGTGTGTCTTCAGCTCGAACAGTTTAATATGATAGAAAACGCCATTAGTTCCAACAGCCTGTACAGCCCTTGCTCCACCCTTAACTACTCCCAGGCAGCCATGATGGGACTTACCGGCAGTCATGGCAGCTTGCAGGACTCGCAGCAGCTGAATTACTCCAGCCATGGAAACATCCCCAACATCATTCTTACAGGTAAGAAAATCACAGACTTAACCGACAAGTAAAACCATCCGGGTGTCGGTGTTGCTCTCCCTCGTGCAGCGGCTCCCGCCGAGCCGAGAAAGGAAAAGGGGTTTGTTGCCTTTGAAGGTTTTCTTTCACCTTGTGTGAAGTTTCGTGTTACCATTCCGGAGTATTTCCCGTGTGCCAGGGAGCCTGATGGCTCCCATTTAATCCCAGCAAACAGGTAGCTCTGCAATGGCAGCACTAATTGTTTTACAGACCTTCCCTGCATCTGAATTTACTGGATCCTCTGCCACAGTGAGGGAGAAGCTGTGAAAGCCAAACTTCTTCCTCTGCTGCTCTGTTCAAGCTTGCCAACAAAGGATTCTCTTACTGTCACATATGGTAGCGAATCTGGTCACTGTTGGACATTTGGAAACAATTTTTGCACAGGCCACTGAGAAAACTGTAGTTCAGTCCGTATTTCAGCCAAGGACTCTTGCTGATTAGAATCACATAAATTAAGGTTATTCCTCCTAAACCTAAGGGAGAGAAGAGAGACTCGAGCAACACCTTCGTGGTTCCCAAATACACATACATGAGTTTTGCTTTGTGTTAGGTCGCTGTGATGGTTTTGAGATGCTCTGACGAATCTTTAATTCCTCCAGCTGGAAATGAGGGTGGACATTTCTCACCTGAACTTCAGCCGTAGTTCAATAAATTATTCCAGGGTTTTTGCAAGCTGTTTTATCACTCGTCTGCCTGGCGAATATGTATTTGCTAAGTCCTGCCGACACCTTTCTCTTCCTCTTCCCCGCAGTGACAGGAGAATCCCCTCCCAGCTTATCAAAAGAACTGACCAGCTCTTTGGCAGGAGTGGGAGACGTCAGCTTTGACACGGATTCCCAGTTCCCTCTGGATGAACTCAAAATTGACCCTTTAACCTTGGATGGACTGCACATGCTGAACGACCCCGACATGGTCCTCACCGACCCCGCCACAGAGGACACGTTCAGGATGGACCGGCTGTGAAGCCTGGAGCGGGGGAGTGACGCGTGTTCCTGGAGCCCGGCCGAACTCGAGAGTCCAGCGGGTCAGTCGTGTCAGAACAGGAGCTGCTGAGAGCAGCAGCTCTGTCCTGTGCAACATGTACAATGAGTAAAGCTTGTCGTTCTAAGCTTGCAGCGCTGCAGACCCCTACTCCCTGTTGCGCCGTATTTCGCCCCTTATCCACTCATTGCCATTAATGAGTAAGGAGTTTCCATCAGCCTTTTCCTCTCCAGACCCCCCCCCCCCCCTTTCCCCCCACCAAAGCTCCGGCGTTAAGTTGTCAATTTATCCTTTGCACTAGGAGGGGGGTGTTTGTGGGCAGGCGAGGAAGGTGCAGAGCCAAGGGTAAAGAGATTCTTCCCGACGTCCCGAATTGCTGGCTGCTGGTCGAGGCGGGGAGGGGGAAGCGCCGATTTCGCCGCCCCCCCCTTCTCTCTCCCCTCGCTGTTTCGAAAGCCAATTCTGCGTTGCCACCCTCTGGGAGGGGCTGGGGGAGCTTCGGCGGTTTTGACTCTGCTTTGTGACAGCCGCTTCGTAGAGTAAAACGCTTCTTCCTTTAGCGATATGCCATGTTTGGTTTCAGGTTTGTTCCCTTGACCGTCGTCCCGCACCCGCTGCCGCTTCTCGTGCCCCGAGCAAACGCGCGTACTTGGCAAAGCGGAAAAGCAGCCTGGCAGCCCAACGGCCTCGTGTAGCCAGCTAGTCAAAAAAGGCAACTGTAAACACTATTTTCAAAGCTTTTTTTTTTTTTTAAATATATATGTAATATATATATTTATAAATATATGTATACATATATATAGCATTTCTGAGCACACAAAAAAGTACTATAATTCATTACTTGATTAGCACGGAGGAAGGAGCAGAACATTTTAAAGCAGCTAAAAGAATATAGGAGACTAACTCGCAGAGCATATTTCTCGTTTTACTTTTGTGAGAGATTCCTGGGCAACAGGAAGGGCATTTCTGTAGCAATGCCTGGCTCAAATCATGATGACTATTTTTTATTTTTTATTCTTATTCATTACTTATTCTGTTACCATTATTTATGATATTTTTGGGTTTTTTATTTAAGTATTTGGATATTAGGAAAGTAGCTAAACTACATACAGCCATTTGAAGCACTCTACATAATACTTGTACAGTACATCTTTTTTGTGTTTTTATTCCAGAAATATATTATATATATTATATATATAGGTATTTTTAACTAACTGGAATTTTAAACAGATGTTAAGCAGAAGTGAGGAAGCCTAAGGCAAGTCTAGATGTTTTCCTTTTATATAGTCAAAATAGGGTGGCAGGAACTTAGACATTCCTTCTTTCACCCTGGGGAAAAAATAGCTTGCTCCACAGTGAATAGTACTGTATCCTCAGACAGGTTGAGATTCTGTTAAATTTATAATAAGACTATTTCTGTTAGTCCTTGTTAATATTCTGTGCTGCAGTTTAAGAGACTGGTGGATGACACTTTATCAATGGCAAATAAATAAAAACAAACAAACAAACAAACCAACCAAACCTGAACTGCAAACCACCCATTGACTCCGAATCTGTGGTTTCATTAAATGTCAGGGCTGAATGGATGAGGGTTCCCGGATCTCTGCACGTGGGACTCAGATTTGAAAAATGCATTTAAAGATTTATCAAGAGCCCAGCAGGCTCACAGTGATTGCCAGGGCCACTGTTAAATCGTTATCTTCATTCCACTATAATCTGCACAGTAACAGAATCTGTCAGTACAGGACCCTTCTCTCCAGTCGAAATTACAAATTAACATTATTTGGAGTCTTATTAACAAGTTAAGAGTTACGTTGCGCCTAACACCCCGGAGGTGGGATGAACCAATACCTGCTAGAGGAAAGATTTCCACGCAGTCGGGGTTGAACACCCACATCTACTTTTGTTAAGTACAGCCTCAAGAAAAGAGCCGTTTTAGTTTTCATTTCAAGAGGAGTTGTGTTTTGGTGATTCCCCCCCCTCTGGCATGGTAGTTCCACATCTGCTCTTTCGACTCGATCTGCACCAGCTGGATTTGCTTCTTGTCTAAAACCGTGTCCGCTCTTTCTCAGCTGTCATGACTTGCAAGCAAAAAAACCCCCCCAGCGCTTCTCCCCGTCCTGTTTCCCCTCCAGACAGATTTGTCTGTGCTGTTTTCAGCAAGCGATAAGGAGGGTCCGCCGAGGAGCTGGCCTGCTCTTAATGAGTTATATTAGGTTTCTGTGTGCTTCCAGAAATCAGTGGGACGCCGTCCTGAGATTCATGCAGACACTGCTGAGCAGAATCGTTGTTGGGATCTCTCTAATCCGGGTGCGTGTTTGCTCACGTTTGTGCCATCCGTTGACCATTTGCACTAAAAATGTTTTTTCTTTCGATCTCTCAGCTTACCTGTGTCTTCTTTTCGTTCCCTCCCACGCAATTGAAAGGTTATTCTGCATCTTTGCTGAAAATGTTTGTTGTCAGGATTTAAGCCCGGTAGTACGTTAACTCCTGGTGTCTGCTTATTTCAGATTGCTAACGCTTTTTCAATTTAAGGAGGCAAAAAAAAAAAAAAAAAAAAAAAAAAAAAAAAAAAAAAAAAAAGGTAGCTTCGAACAGGAGGATACCCTAAAAGAACAGGAGTAATTTGGGCACGGGTGACTCGGAGTCCTTTGCTTTGAAACAGCCAAAGGTACAGTGTGAGTTGAATACGCTTCTTGCAGTTCACGTAGTTCCCTGGTGGGATTTCTGTCTGTATCGCGCTCTCGTTCGAATGACTCTCATGCATGTAAATTCTTGTTTGTGATCTATTTTTTTAAAACCAGAGTCACTTCAGAATGAAGCATCCAAGTAGGAGATGAGATTCCTCACTGGAGACTTTTACAGGGAGCTGTTGCTAAATGCTACCTTCTAATTTTTTTTAAACTACATGTATATATAAGAGATCTTGTTTATTAGACTTGTAAGTAGACATTTAAAATGGCCTTAATTTAAAAATAACACGTCTGGATGCAACTGTCAAAAGGAGGGACCATCTAGTTGAGAGAAATCCAGGTTTTGTTCCTTTTGTGCGGGGCAGGCGGAGAAGGGTGCGCTGGGAGCGGGAAGGAGCCGCGGGAAGCAGGTGATGGCTCTGTGTGACAAGATGTGCTTCGTCTGGGGAGCCCCGGTAGTGGGCAGGGCGAAAGCTGCTGTTAGTCCCGACCCTTTGAGAACCGGAGCAGTTCCTCCAACAGCTCTTGGCTTTGCTTCCCGGGGGGCCGCTCTCCTGACAGCGTCGTGGAGGAGCTGCGCTTCGAGAGGGGTTTTTTCTCCCCCTCTCCCCTCAAAATTTATGTTTTTGTAGCGTGTGTGGGCGTAAGGCTGATTTTTAAAGCGAGCCCAAGCTATTAAGTTGTCAGGTGTAAACATGGAGCGGGTCCCCGGTGTTTTCGGAACGAAGAATCTTGATTTGATTTGAAAGCGGCGTGGCACCGTTTTCATTCTGAATTGTGCGTGGAAGGGCGAGAGCTGTTGGGAGCGGCTGGGACGGACGGGAGCGGGAAGAGCAGCGAAAAGAAAAAACATCACCGAGCAAAAAAAAAAAAAAAAAAAAGAAAAAAAAAAAAGTAGTATTATTTATAACTTTTTGAGTTAAATGATGTTGAAACTGTCTGGTGTCTCAAAGGGTTACTGTCCAAACATACCTGCTGAGTGAACCCTACCCCCTCCCTACAACTTGTGTTTTTATATCTCTCTATATCTTAAAAAGTTCCCAAGCTAGACTGTTGCATTTGCCAATACAATGGGGAAACAATAGGAATAAACCTCCCGTGTATCAAATACTGTGATTTTTCAAAAGCGAACCAGCACTCCTGCTGGTGGTGGCAGCGCGGGGCGGGCGGGGGAGGCTCCTTGCGTTGTACATAGCGTTCGTTCCGCATTCTCTCTGGAATGAATCTGCACAGGCCGGGCTCCGGGCACGGCTGCGCGGGGCCGAGCCCCTCGGCTCACTGCTGCTTCTGCATGGCCGTCAGCACTTTGCCAGCGATCCTGAACTCTGCAAAACCTTTCCTGTACAGAGCACCTTTGGGTTTGGTTTTTTTTTTTCCTTTTTTTTTTTTTTTCCCCCCCCAAGAGGGGAAAAGGTTTCCAGAAAGAGGCTGCAGATTAATTTCAGAAATTGTTAATTATTTGTACATTTTATTACCTTGTTTTAAGTTTGATTGATTATTTTTTTTTTTTAACAAGTGTGCCCTAGATCCCTGGTGCAAATCCATGCGACGAGCGCTGACGGAGGAAAAGAAGGAGCTGCCCTCTAAGTCTGCGTAAAAGCAGCATCTGATAACTTAGAGAATTGTCTAAACTTCCCTCCAAAATAAGGTCTTGACAGTGCTGGTTTGTAAAAGCTTGCTTTTCTGTAGAAACAGTAATTAAGGCTTGAGATCTGTCCCTTAATGAGCGTGGTACTCGCCCTGGAAACCCCCTCTGTACAAGAAGGAAGAGGAAAAGCCCCCTCATCATCCTGTAGGTTACAACGTACGCTGTGCTTTCAGGAGGGGAAAAAAAAAAGGAAAAAAAAAAAAAAAAAAAGCAGCGTTTATTCCTCTGAAAAATGGAACCCCCGTCACTGTGATGGCAATGTGAAAGCGCAGGTAGCGTTTGTTACGTGTGTCTGTTCTTTTTAAAAAAGAAAAAAGCAAAAAAAAAAAAAAAAATTTGTAGTGTTCCTGTTCTTTGTATTTTTAGTTGCATATTATTTATACTGCGCAGTGTAGGCATGGATTGCATGTCAGTTTTCTATGCGGGCACCATGATGACATTATAACTGTGTATTATAAATCATTTTTACCTTTTTAAACAGAATCATTGTGTGGAATTTCTATGCTGCAAAACAAAACACTACATTACGTACTATATTCATTTGTGTTATTTATTTTATTATTTTGTGGGGGGGAGGGGGGTGGTTTTAACTGTGGTGTATATTGCCTTATGTGGGCTTGACCAATTTTATCAAAATAAAGGCCTAAAGGGGTAAAATACGTTTACTGTTTTCTTCAGTAAGTTGACTCGTGGCTGCTGTAGAGGCGGCTGTGGAAAACTCTGGAGTAGGAAGCGTGAGGGGAAGCGGATCCGTAGTGTAGCGGGGTCTGTGCAGAAGGAAGAGGCGGCTGTGGAACGTATTGACTGTAAGTAGCGGGAAGCGCTCGTCTGAGAAGTGATTGGAGCCCTCGAGGGCGATGTGACGTCGGGGATTGCGTAGGGAGCGTGAGGAGCCTTGTCTGAGCCTTTCGCCCCCACCTGCACGTGTCCCGATTTCCCGTATTGAAGCTCGCCGCCCTCGTCTTCCGGGCCAGCCGTGAAAAACCCCTTCTCGCGCGACCGAAGCCCAAACTCTTCCCCAGTTCAGTGATTCGTGACGTTGCCCAAGCGGGCGGCGCGGACGCTCCGGGGCAGATCCCGCCGCTCTTTACCCGCCGCAGGTTTTCCCGCTTCCGAAATACGAAGGGTCTGTCTGAGCTTTGCTGCAGGTCCCGGGGAACGAGACCGAAGAGAAAAGAGCAAGAACCCGGTTGCCTGCGCCCCGTTTCTCGGGCTGGGAGGCGGCGCGGCCGCCGAGGGCTCGTCACGGGCGGTTTGAGACCCCGCCGGCGGGGGGGGGGGGGTGTTTGGCGCAGACCCTCCGCCCCTCCCCGGGTTTTGGGCGCAGCGACTCGGCTCCGCGTGTCGGTGGTGAGACGCGGGTGGGGGCTGGCGGAGGTGGTGCCGGCCCCGGCCGTCTCCTCGTAACCTCCTTAACCTGCTGCTTCAAGGTCGTACGTGTCGTCTTGTAACTAAGTAGTAGGCAGGGAAATGCCTCAGTAGCGTTTGGTTTGGTTTATCTTGGTTCTTTTTTACTTTAAATTTTGCCGGTAAGTAGCTACGGGAGAATAAACGCCGCGCGTTGAATTCTCTGCTGTGCGTTTTCTGCTTGCTGGAGAATCAGCGATCTAACGGCGCTTTCTGGTGCAGTCAAAGGTCCGATGTTGTTGATTGTGTTTTAATTTAGTAACCGGTTCGGCTTTAAGGCAACATAATTTTGGGCAGAAAACCCATGTGGCAAGAGACATGTCTTTTCTTTTTAAGGAGACAAAGGGAAAAATGGTGATGGTTCTTGCCCCATCTCCTGCCATTTGCTGTCACGACAGGCCTGGGGGACCTCGGTAGCAGGTACCGGTAGCGGTTCGGCTGCGGGGAGCTGGTTCCTCCTGAGTTTATCCGACTGCTCGTCCCCGTGTCCGAGGAGCTTTGGTGTGGGGGTGCAGCGGGGCCGGGGAGCCCCACAACCGCTGCCTGTCGGCGCTCCGAGACGTTCTGAGGGCCGGGCGAGCTCTGGAGCCGCGGTCGCCCCCCCCCCCCCCCGAAGCTGTTCTGGTCCCGCCGCGAAGCCTGAGCAGAACCTGCTGCTGCCGCAAACCTTCAGTCCCTGGGACAAAAGCCAACGCCTCGGGGATCGCAGCTCCGGAGCTGCCGGGGACCCGTCAGTGCAGAACCTCCGTGTTTCCCCAAGCGCTTCGCTTCCCGTCGGTGTTTCTGTCACCGCCGTCGCGTACGCGAGACACCGCCCTAACCAACGACAACGCTTCCGACGTTCTCTCGCAGCACGACGATGGGATGGAAATGGAGATGACAGCTCAGGCGATTTTACTCCTTAATCTTGCCTGCCTTCAGCCCATACCGACTTCCAGATAACGCTACTTTACTTTTCTTAAATTTGCAGACAGCGCTTCCCCTGGGTGGGGGTTGATGCGTTCAGGCGGGAGCGATGAACCGGTCAGCACAAACACCGTGATTAGTTTTTGGGGCTGGGCGGCGCTGGGGATCAGTCGCGCTTTCTCGCCGCCCTCCTCGCTTTGGTTTTTGGGAAGCTGGGACCTGCTGCTGCGGATGGGCCCGTGTTACAGCCGTTTGTTTTGGAGTGTGGACGTCTCGATGTTTAACCTGTCGCTGGTTCTAGTCTCCCTTTCATTGAGCTCCAAACCAAAAATAGTAATTTGAGCAGTCGGTCTGCTCAGTGGGAACATTAATTACCCATTTCTGATAGCTGCGCTGTAAATTAACAGTTGTATCCACGTGCAGACGGGACGGCGTTTTCTGAGCCGGTGTAAGGATTCCTCCTCCTCCTCTTTGATAAATCAGTTTTCAGTGGTGACGGTGATTTTCTGCATTAGCGCAGACCCGAGCTACCTGTGGACTAGTCTGTTGGTAACGGTCTGGCAGAAACCTCCGGGGGAGGGAACTTAATCTGGGTTAACGCCGGGAACTCGGACGGTCGCGCCCTGGCTTTGAGTGAGCAGGCGTGTTCGTGTCTGTCGGTCTTAAAATTATTGGGTTTTTTAATCCGTGTTGGATCAAGCCTTTGTTGTATAGTATTTTTCTTCGCGTTGTGTGGCGGGTGAGTCAGAGTGAAGTGGGCCTTGCCGTCTTAGGAGCTGGTGGGTGTTGAACGTGCTGGCAGACGGCAGTCGCTGTCTGATGGTATTCGACTCTTCTGCTCGATGTTTTCAAAACCGTGAGAGGCTGGTGGGGGGGGGGGGGGGCACACGCAGTTAACCAGCTCCAGTGTTACCCTGATTTCACCTCCCCGTCTACCTTAGACTTTAGAGGATCCTTCAACAAATAAATTGGGACAAACACAACCGAGATTGCAACAGGCGCTCTCCGCACGTGAATGGAGAGAGTGCACCGCCCTCGCCGCGCTTGTCTGGGGATCCGTGTTCTTCCCACGGAAGCTGTGTTGGAGCCGGCCATTAACGCACCTAATGACCAAAGGGGAGGTGTCACTTCAGCTGCAAAAAGCCTCTGAAAAAGAGACAAAACTAAAAGAGTTGGTGCTTCTGCTGGAGAAGTGCAGGTCTGGGTGTTGGAGAGTGTTGAGGCTCCGGAGCCGCCTGTCCTGAGCGGGGTCCGGGGGTGTCGCTGGCGAAGGGCTGAGCCGCCCCAGCCCCGCACAGGGAAGCTGCGGGGAGAGGAGCCGCTGGAGCTGAGGCCGCTGAGCTGCCGCGGGACGGCGCGAACGTCGGGGATGAGTTCGCCGGGCTCTGAGCTCCGGTTCATTCGTGTTTGCTGTATTGAATCTAGTTTCAGCCTCACGCGGCTAAGGCTTGAAGGAATCTGTCGAAGGGCGCCCCGTCCTGCAAAGAAGCTGAGAGTTTTTTCATCGTGGTTGAGTTTTTTTTTTTAAGTAGAAAAAATGTAGAGTTCCAGGGAAATGGGTATTCTGCCCCGGGGAATGTTCTTTTCTACCAGATGCAAATTGTGCTAAATCTTTAAAGATCAGCCTGAGACCTGTGCAGATTCATCCACCCCTTCAACGTGCAATAGGAGCTTCTCCCCTCGATACGCTTAGATCGCCGCAGTTGTGTGTCGGCTTTGGGCGAGGCGCAGGCGGGCGGGGGCCGTGCGAGCGCCGGGGCTGGGCCGGGGGGTGCAGGGCCGGGGGGGTGCAGGGCCGGGGGGGTGCAGGGCCGGGGGGGTGCAGGGCCGGGGGGTGCAGGGCCGGGGGGTGCAGGGCCGGGGGGTGCAGGGCCGGGCGCGGGGGCAGCGGCCGCTGGCACTGGCACCGAGTCGCCTCCGAGGACGAAGCGACGCCCCTGGCTCCCGGGAGGCGTCTGCTCGCGGAGCGCTGGGCCTCCCCCCCCGCCTCCGGATCGGCTGGGTCCGCACAGCGAGATGTAAAGTTCATTTCTAGGTGTCCTATGGATTATTCAATGCAACTTTTTTATACTGTGGTTTAGAAAAAAGGGATGAAAGGTCTGCGCTTACAAATCTAACGTAAGAACCGGTTTCTGCAACTGGCGTAGTAGAGTTGTCAGTCTTTCCTTCAGAAGTTTTACAGGCTTAAACTTGCTCGTAGGAATGGAGTTGAATTATACCACACCAAGGGCAATTTTTTAATTCAACAAAATCTGCTCTGGCTGTTTGTCAAGAAAGAAAAGCAAGCGGCTCCCAGGTCTTGCTTACGTCTAATGTCACAAGCCTCTGTTTGAAAGGAAAAGACTAAGCTTGGCTCAATGTTGGAATTTCCAAGACATTAAATATAGAGAAGATAAATAGGTAAAGCTTCTGTCCTTGCAGAGTAGATGATGACTATAAAAGTTATATGATCATATTTATGGGGCAATGGGGGGGGTGGGCGGGTGTAGGGCTTGCTTAAACAAAACTTCCTTTTCGTACTGGGTCCTGACCATCCGTGGCACGAGCGCCGCCACGGGCGGCCGGTAACTGCACAGACGTATCGTCCACACGCCCAGCGATCCCCGGTCAGCGTTCAACAGCGTAGTCGTTCAACTCGTGTACTTCAGTCGGCTGGTAACTAATAAGGCAGTAGATATTGAGGTTTTCTTTTGGGGAGGAATTAGAACTTTTAGATACTGTTTCTTCTGACCTTAACGGAGCCCCCATGTGTGGAAGGATTCCTTGTAGAAGAAGTGGAAGTTAAATGTATTAGTACTCGTGAAGGGAAAGTTTGATTTTAATAAAATTAAACACAGCTGCTTTGGGCAGCTTCTCTCACAGACTGGCAGCTAAAAACAACTTTATGTAGTTCATTGAGCTTGGGGAAAAATGTCAAATTTATGCATTTTCAGAGGCAGTATAATATACTGTTCTTTACAAGCTAAACTTTTTCTATTAAAATAATTTGTGGATTATTTCACTGATATATGCAATCCTATATTCAGCTACAGCGTTGGTGGCACAGGAACTCTGGAAAAGTTGTCCCTGCGACATAAAAGTTTTATTTATTGTGTTTTTCTATAGATAAAGTGGAAAACTGAAGTTGGCTTTAAGTGTTTGCGATCTGAGAAATGATGTGAAAAAGCAGCTCAACTAAATGTACATTCTTTTCAATCTTTTCTTTTTTGTGTGAAGGCTTTTGTCTTTGTATCTTTGCATTATTTGTAAATGAAATGTAATAAAAGTTCAAATGTTTTTGTCTCTGGCTGCTTAGCTTTTTCTTAGTTTCGTTTGTTGTCTGTTTGCTTTTTGACTGATGGTTTTCAGTGTTGAAATAGTGGTGGTTTCAGTGCTTGTGTTTATAAAGAAACAGCAAAATCAGATGATTTTGGTTAGCTGGCTTCTTACAGCTCTGAAAACTGAACTCTTACTCTGCAAGAGGAAACTGCAGACGGATCTAAAAGATGCAAAGCATCGTGATAAGCCTCAAAATTTAAACTCTCTCCAGAAGTGTCCCTGCGTTGCGGAGTCTCGGCTTTTCTCAAGCCAGCGCCTCGGCCACGTTCCCGCGCTGCTGCGCGGCTTCAGAGCTGTCTGGGGTGAGGAGAGGCGAGGCTGCCTGCCTAGTCCAGTCGTTGCATTTTTTGAAAGAGAAAATGAGCATGTAAATGTTCAGACTTGCTTGATTAGATTGTCATACGTGCATGCCTCAACACCTGGGCGCAGCTTTCACTGCAGTAAATCTCGTGTTCGGTTGGTCATCGAGGCAGGTAGGGCCAGGGAGGAATAGAGTTTTACATTACTAAGGCAGCTGGGAGAGAACGAGCGACTCCCCCCAGCTCGGGCAGTTATTTCATAGCTCTTCTGAATGGAATTCATCTTTTTCTGATGCTGTTCTGTGCTTGCCTGTGGGAGGGTTCCCCTGCAGCCAGGACTGTGGCCCGAGGGGCGGGTGTGCTGGGGAGGGAGCCGTGGTTCGGGCTGAATGTTCTGCGTGAAGCGTAACCAAGTCGATCGGCAGCGAGGCTGAGTGAGCGCGCCTGACTTCAGTGACCGAGCAAAAGGAAGTTCATTCATTTCTGCCCTCAGCTTGGAAGCTGTTCCGCTGTGGAACAGTTTCTTAGAAGCTCTGGAACATCCCTCCAGTACTTCAAGCCATGTCCTATAGGAGATCCTGTACTCTGGGCTGCCTCATCTGCATTTTTTCCTGTTGGGGAAAGAAAACTTAGTGGCGATTTTCATGATGGTCTTAGAATGGCAAAGGGAGGTGTTCTCTACGCGCTGTGCCCAGCAAGCGATCGGTTAGCAGAACCGGTGTTCTTCTGGCAGATCTCTGCTTCTGCTGTTGCCTCTGGAATGTGAAATTCAAATGCACGTAGCTGTGGAGAGGTGCAGCTTTTGCCCTCAGCTTTCCGGGAGGAGAGGGAAAGTTGTGTTCACACCTTGCTTGTTTGGTAAATTTGACAGACGCAGCGCGTCCGGCCAGCGGTGTTTGTGTTTATCGTACAGCCTCTGCGCTGGTGAGCATTCAGCTGCCTTTCTGGTGAAACCACGAGCAAGTCTCCTGAAACCACGAGCAAGTTTCACTATAATTAACGTGAACTGCTTACCTGAAGCATCTTGCAAAATCTGGCTTTTAGTGTCTCTTTAGGCAGACCGGAAGGCGGCGGCCAGGTCATCGTGCCCTGGCAGAGACCGCGGGTTACAGCCGTGCAGGATTTAAGACTTCCCAGGTTACCAACTACAGAAACCCGCTGTCTGTCTGTGGGAGTCCTGGCACAGTGTCACAGACAGATCAAACATAAAGCTTTCATTTATCGTTCTAAAACTGCCACGTAGAAGACCCAGGTAGGACAGCCTAACTATAGAGGGAGGCTCTTGAAAGAAAAAGTGGCCCTGTGCATCTGTACGGCTAACAAAGTGATTAATTCAGCTGAGGGCTCTCCAGCAGTGCTACTGCTTTTGGCTTTGAAGGGTTTCTCTGTTACACATCTGTATCGGAAAAGTTTCAGAAGAGGAAAAAGCAACATGCACGTGACCAAGGAGAAGTCTAGTTTTTATTATCCAACATTCCACGTATTTATTAGCCAACATTCCAGAACAAAGATACTCTCCTTAAAGTGCTTGTTTTTAATGTTTTGTGAGCAACTTGTACATAGGCTGCTCTCTGTCCTTTTCAGACTAGTGCTGGGTTTGTTTTGCAGTAGGTCTTGAAAAGGAAAACAACATTCACACTTGAGAGCCTTTGAGTAAGGAAAAGATTCCTGGGAATCATCCGCACTGAACTTACTCAAACAATTCCAGCTCCTGCAGGTGGCTTCTCAGCACATCTCTCTCCGTGTAGCGTAGAGAGCTAGTGTTGACAGCAGCACAGGCCTCTATCCACACTTGCCATCTACACCTCTGCCGTTCCAATAGGTTTTTTGTAGCGTTTAAAGAAAGTTGCTGTTGTGGAAAAGTTGCCAGATAATGCACTGACACGTGGTGCTGTGCAGAGTGCAGTGGTACATTACTTACAGTTCTTTATACAGTATACCAGAGCAATAGTGGGGCAGCTGAGCACATTTTTTAAAGCAAGTTTGGCTGGACAGACGTTTAAATCGGAGGTTAGTCTTGCTGAACTCTAAATGTTTCATAATCTTCTGGAATGGTATCTGTGGAGGATGAGATTAAAGCAAATACAGATTAGAAGTAGGACCAGAAATAAAAAATAGAGTAAGCTATTGCATGCCATCCCCTTACAGTTGTACATGTAGGATAGCTGAGAACAAATGAACATCTTGAAAGCAAAATGGCAAAAATGTCTGTATTTGACTTTCAAAACTAACTCACCATTGCAGCGATAACGCAGGTTTGACCAAATGATGTTCTCCTGGGAGAAGCAGAAGACTCCCAGGCGTCCCCCTCGCATGGTTGTATCGAGGACAACTCCCGTGTCTGCTACGACCTCAGGGCCTTCGTAGAAGCGAGCTCTAGAAGAGAATCCGCGCGCGTGGGACACGAACGTGAGACTGGTTCACCCTCGGAGAAACCGGTCCCATCAGACTCTCCCTCCTCTTCACCACAGGACTGCACTAGAGGTGCTGCTTTTGCGGGTGAAGCGTCCACTCAGCCGTGTGAAGGGAAGTGCAAACCCCTCACCTGATGTATCCCACTTGAGGCCGATGTTGCAGGAACCAGCGGTAAGACGTCTTGTCCTTCCAGCCAGAATTGCGAGGGTCTTTCCACAGCAGTTTGACCTGGTCTGTGGTGTCTCCGGTGTGCCAGAGCGAATTGCGGAGATACTCTCCTGGGCCTGTTTTAGACTTCACTGCCTAACACAGAGAAGAGACTGGTAAAATGTGGATGAAGGATTGACTGACTGTAGCTGCTTGCCCCACTCTGTGTCCAAGCAGCACAGCTAAGAAAAAGGCAAATATCCCTTCCTGAATTCTTTTTCAACGGCAGCTTTACCTTCAGTTGAATTCCAGGTTCTGCTACTGCTCGGAAGGGGTTTGCCTGCCAGTACGTCTGTTCCATCTGCTTCCACATGACCACATAAAAGCTGGAACTGTCCTGGTAGCCAAATATGAAGCCAGCATAATCATCGTCTGTGGCCGTGTTGACATGGAATGTGCCCTCAAAGTCCACTCCGTTGAATGCCGTGTAACCTGCAATTGGTGGGAAAACAAATACTCTCTATTCTGAGACAAAATGTAGATCCGTTTCTTTCTGGATTCGGAGGGGGGAGGTGGGTTTTGCTAAGGCAAAGCTGAAGGCTCTGCCTACTACAGAAAATATTTTCCCGGGAGGTGGATGGAATCATTAAGTAGTGTCTGAAATCCTTGCAAAAGCTGCACCGAGAAGTCCGCAATAATTTTCCAAGAGGACAAAAAGAAGCGCCTCACCTACAGCCAGGCCAGGATCGCTGTTCATGGTCTGGACAATTTCCATGCCCTGAGAAAGACGAATGTAGACTCGTTAGTGTAGCTCCAAACTAACTTTACTCGTTAAGTGATCAGGGGGAAGGTACATCGGGGTGAACCTCTGGGATTAGGACACTGGTGAACAGTACCGTTAAACCTGCAGAGTCTTTTAATAAAGACTGCACCCCGGTCGGTACAGGCTTGTTCCACCTGCCTCTCCAGCCCGTTCTAGAGCAGTCTCCTACCTGGTTGAGGACAATCCAGTTGGGGTCAATCTGTGCATCACCCTCAGGGTCCAGGACAACTGTCTGGAAAGCCCTGAAGTCCGTTAGTGTCACTTCTGCATTCTCTGGGCACACATCAATTCTGTCAATCACCATGTCTCTGTCAAAATCATCTTCACAAAGGTTTCCCACGCCGTCACCTGAGAGCACAATAGAAGAAAAGGAGTAACAAGCTTTCATTAATTCCTCCCACCCCTTGCACCCGAGTTTTACTCAGTGAGCTTCTGGCTAGCACAGTTAAAGGTAGCCATGTCTATGCCAGGTTAAGAGGTGTTCAGAGCACTGCTACACTCTTCCTTTAAGTCAGTTGCAAAGAAACCCTGAGGCTTCTCTTGCTTGCAGAGATGCTGTGAACAGAAGAAACACCTCAAATTGTAGATACTTCTGGAAGATAACTTTTCGCAGATACCCGATCCTGCTGTCAGGGTTTTTTGAGATCTGAAAATGACGTCGAACCGTCTCAGGTCGGTACTGAGGAGATCTTACTCCCTGTCTATCTCTAGAGGTCAAACCCATACGCGTTGGCCACCAGGAAGGGAACTGTCCCCGTGCAGGGGTAACGTGCATCCCCTTCCCTTACCGTCCGAGTCTTCTTGGCCAGGGTTAGGGACGAGCCGACAATTGTCGGGGCCTGGGGGTTTCTCATCTGGAATCCCATCATCATCGTCATCATCATCACATTCATCCCCCAGCCCGTCATTGTCTGTGTCCACCTGGGAGCTGTTGGGCACCGAGGGGCAGTTATCCCGTGTGTCTTGGTGGCCGTCCCCGTCACTGGTGGAGAAAATGACGGGTAAAGGTCAGCCACTGACATGTGCTTTTGAAATAAGCACACAAGACCTTTCTAGGAGCTGGGGTCCTCAACACAAACAGCAGAATTTGGTGATTTTAGCCTCACGGAGTCTTGAGCTGTTAGTTACACCAGTGACAGATCAGGAATATTCCTGCTGTAGTCTGCAGCCAAACCCATCAGCTGATGATGAGCAAGCCTGCTGCAGGCAAGCTTCCATCCGCCAGCCTCTGGGCCATACTTCCACGGGCAAGTGTTTTTGAGGTCTGAAGAAAATTCCACTTCCCTTGGCCTCTGTCTTTTCATTGGATAAGGCCAAGCCAGGTTGTCACGGAGTTGCCAACGCATGCCTTTTTCCCCTTCCATCCCCAAGATTTCATGCAACTGAAGTATAACTTTTGCAGCAAGTTCTCACCTGTCCTGGTTGGTATCACAGACGTCTCCCACTAGATCATGATCGGTATCTTTCTAGTAAAATAAAGCAACAGTAATTTAAACTTTCCATAGATCAAGAGGGGGATTAGGCAATAAAGAGAACAGAGAGAGGTCTTTGCCTCAGTGCCGTGATCATTCGGATTGAACACGGAGCTGACAACAGTGGGAGAGCTTCTTCTGCAGTATTTATAAATTTCCCTGCTGAATTCGAGCAGCGCTATTTCTAAGCACAAAAGAGCAAGGTAGGACAAGAGAAGGCCCGAGTGCAACGCTTCCTCTCTGACTTACTCCTCTGTACCCCAGGGTGTTTGATCTCGAGGGGCTGTACTCTTGTACTGCAGGTTGGCAGCTAAAATTTGCAAGTGGTAATCCTGGTGAGTTACCAGGTGCGTGCACCTTAGGCAGCTGACACGAGCACTGTCTTGAGCAAGAGAAATGAACCCATAAGAGGGCAAAACTGGGAGTGCTTACTCACCTGGTCCGGGTTACTGATTGTTGGGCAGCTGTCACACACATCTCCTACTCTGTCACCATCACTATCTTTTTGATCAGGGTTAGGAACTCTTTTGCAGTTGTCTACTGGGTTTTTGATCCCTGTAAAACATGCGAAGTGGACCCGTCAAGGCAACAGGGCTGTTAAGCTCTATGCAGCAAGATCTCTGCTGGATGTAAGAGAGCAAAATTCTAGGACAGCTGAGTTCATGTAATAAGGCAACAATTTTTTTGTGTACATTTTACACACTTTTAAGTTACATCCTAGAAGCTATGGAGTACGAAAGAGATCAGCAGCAACTGATGTTAAAACATACTCCAGACTGTATCACGCTGGATGTCTGAGCATGATATTGCCCATGAACCTGAGCGGAACCATCCTTAACTGCATTCCTTAGAGAAAGCTAAAGAACTGAAGAACATGGCTCAACCTGGCATCATATCTGTGCAGGAGCGAGGGGCCAAGAGGATGAAGACAAAGCTGTCTGTGGTTCCCTAAAGCATGACAGAGTCTTTTTCCTCTAAAGTAGACATCTAATAAAATAAGTCAAGGTTAATCTTGGCTGTTTGACATGGAAGATTTAGACAGTGCCTTTTCAAGCCCTGAGACAGGACAGGAACAATCTAATTGACAGACAACCTCTATGACTTCACTTCCCACTTCCCTGCACTTACCTACTCCACCAGCAAATCATGCCAGCAGGGAGCTACTTGGCAAGATGCAGCCAGAGCCAAACAGCACTAGATACACTGGAAATACTCTGTAAATAAATATGTATGTCCCAGGCCAGCAGCAGTTGTGATTTCTGGCTTTTGAAAGCAGGCTTTGTACAAATACAGCATCATTAGCATACAGACTGTTTCTAGAGCCAGCCAGGTTTTCTCCCCCAGAAGCCAGCCCTGACACATACTGCCTTGAGCCAGAAGCTGCCAACAACTTGGATATTCCCATACTGCTTCATAAGCTTAAATTGCAGCACTAAGTGGTGGCCTTGTCGGGACTGAGATCAGTTTGCATGGTGCATCTTTCTTAAGTCTGACACAGGTTTGACATGACTGTGCGCAGTAACAGTGCTAATGAAAAATTGTTAGTGCCATCCTGAAGATAGATCTTTAAACCCTACAAGAGCTGAACTGTAAAGGATGTTGGCTTGCCTGTTCCTCTTGGCATCTTAAGACCCGAGTTGTGCTTCATCCCATCAGAAATTAGTTCCACTCCTGTGGAGCTCAAGCCTCTGAAAGCAGGCACCAGCCACGAGGATCTCCAGCTGCCTGCTCAATAGCTTTCTGGTTCTTAGCTCAGTATATATGCACCTCGCTGAGGATGCTCTCCAGCGGCTCTTACCATCTCCATCCATGTCATCATCACACTCATCTCCCTTCCCATCGCCATCAATGTCCCGTTGATCATTGTTCTTCACTTGGCGACAGTTGTCGCAGGCATCACCAAAGTTATCCTTGTCTGCGTTGCGCTGGTCTGCGTTGCGTGTGTACACGCAGTTGTCCTGAGGGAGAGAGGGACTGGCTGAGGGAAAATGTTTGGCACTGGGGAGTAAGAAAGACAGAAATCCTGAGGCGTTCTCTAAATCCACATTAAAGGTATAGGCAGTTGCTTTGCAGGACCTCTGGGTACATTTAGGTGTGGCAGAGCTTAAGCAGTAGAATTCAAACCTCAGTATTTATTATCCCATCTCCGTCAGCATCATCGTCACAAGCGTCTCCAATTCCATCCCTGTCTGCATCCTCCTGGCCAGAGTTGGGGACAGTCATGCAGTTATCCTGAAAGGAAAGCAACAAAGAGCCTGCTAGCAAGCTGTGCGTGTCATTCGGCCTGAGTTCTGAAGGTTGGGCAGGCTCTCACCAGCACCCAAGGCCTGCCCTCAAATCAAAACTGCCCAGTTCTGGTTAGGCGTTCCTCTCAAAGACTGCTTCCAGAAAAACATGAGACAACTGCATCTTACCTTGCGGCATTTTTTGTCGGAGCAGCGTTGCTTCTCATCAGGGACCCCGTCAATGTCCGTATCCTTCCCACAGACGTAGCCGTTCCCTGCCCACCCCACGAGACACTGCAAGGCAGCAGACAAACAAAATGAGGCTGCCGGTGAGTCCCCTGATGGCCATATGCCTCCAAAATTGAAGGCTTTACATGAGAACCAGCACAAAACATTGCGAATCCAGGTGCACAACACTCTACAGGAAAAATATTGTCTGGAAGAAACAGTTATGCAGTAAATAGCATTTGAAATAACTCAGATACAAGTCCTCTGCTTGTTCCTGCGATTATAAAGACAGCTGCAGCAACAGAACGTCTTGGCTGCAGCAGGTTGCTGAACAGTGCTTCTCCCTGCTCAGCTGCCTGTAACGTTCCATGAGTGACAAATTTGTAGTGCTTCAGGCAAAAAAAAAAAAAACAACAAAACCCAACCAACAAGGATCTGAGGTGCCAGGAGCACTCTCCAGAGAGCGCTGAGAGAGCTCTTGCCTAGCTGAGGTGTTAATGGGGAGCGGGTCTGCGCCGGGAAGGCACGCTCTCCAGGAGAGGGCAGTGGCAGACCCAGGAGAACAAGCGCAGCGCAGTGGAAAGGGGAGGGAGCAGACCCCAACCGCCGGGAGGTTTGGACCTTACCACGCAGGAGAGGGACCCGTCGCGCTCCACGATGCACTGTGCCTTCTCGTGGCACGGACTGATTTCACCATTGGGGCAGCGTCTCACCGTCTGGCTCTTGCAGCCAGTGACTTGGTCCCCAACAAAGCCAGGTTTACAAGCCCCGCACTTGTAGGATCCCTGCAAGAAAAAGCAATAGGGAATGAGCTATAACATGAGCCCTGGGAAACCTTTGCTGTAACCTGCCCCAGCTAACAGAGGCCCCAGAGCCTGGGGAAGAGAGATCCCCGTGCGGCTTTCCAGGAACATTTACCCGTGTATTGATGCAGATAGAGTTTGGGACACAATTTCTGGCGGCACCTGTCTCACATTCATTGATGTCAGTACAAACCTGCCCAGGAAGAACAAAATAGACGTTAACTTCACTCCTAAGCAGATACCAGATGAGATTACAGAATTAGGGAATCACTAGATGCAGGAGCAAAGCCCCTGGCACACCTTACTAGGACTCACAGCTCAAAATTTTCCTTCAGACAAGCTTGAGCCAGATCTCAGCAATACTCCTGACCCCAGGCAAGCTGTTCACCCTCTACAGAGTCACCAGAGATTTTAGCCTGGCAAAATAGCTTAGCACTGAGCTGAGCTGTCAGAGTATCTCCTTACTGTAAAAGGATAGAAGAGAATCCATGGAGCAAGAAGGTCAAAGACTGTCCTATGACCAGCTAGCAGCTCTCTAAATAACACAAGCCACATGCCATTCCTGCTTTTGGCAATATATTCTTTATAAGAATATAAGATTAAGACCACATTCAGACTAGGTGGTGAGTTTGTTTTTTTTTTTTTTTTTACTTTAAACTCTCTATAGCTGTCAGGGAAGTGTGTGTGGTGGGGGGCAGTAGCTGCATCAACTCTTCTGTGTCCTAGTATAAAGGATTCCCTAGGCTGGCTTCACAGCCACAAAGGTGTCAGATATAACATTCTGCCCAGCATAAATTCAGCAGAAGTCTTGGAGTGGAGGTTGCTTTGCTGTTGATGTGCTAAGACATCCTGGCAAGCCTCTCCTCTCACTGCATCAGTCTTCCCACCAATACAACGCAGTCATCTTGCATTTCCCTCCCATTTCTTTGAGGGATCTAATACCTCTGGATTGCAATTAGAGAAGGGAAAGAGTTAATGGCTTCTGAAGGAGACAGAAATGTTTCTGGGCCTTACCTGTTTGTTGGCCCTGGCATAAGCTAGTCCAACCCCTTCGACCATTTGCCCAGTGAAGCCAGGAGGGCAGGGATCACAGCGGAAGCCAGGGACGGTGTTAATGCACTGGACTTTTGGGAAGCAGGGGTTTGCGTTGCACTGTAAACAAGAAAGAGGTGGTGCAGAACTGTGAGGCAGGCTCGCTCGAGGCCAGCGGTGAAGGCAGCTCTCAAAGCAAGCCTTGCTGAGTGAGATCCAGCTATTGTACTTTTCTTTTTAAAGACTAAAACAAAAATGCATAGAAGTTCCTGGCTTTCCTTGGAAGTGGAAAATACAGCTTCCCCATCTCAGTTGTTCTCCCAAGTTCTTATATGTGCAGACAAGTAAAACAAATCAACTTTCAGGACTAATTCTTCTTAGGTGACATCAATTGCCCAGGCAAAAAGCTGGCTTCACTTCACACTTTCCTTCCTGGCAGTCTCTGAATCCCAAGAACTGGATAATTTCTTGCACTGGTTTTGAAAGACAAGTACAGTTGTTTGTGTATGACTCTGGGAAACAATTGTCTTTCTGAAGTTGCTATTAATGCTTGTTTATTTTCTCCAGCACTTTATTATTTTCACTGAATTCTTATGCTCTGTACTGGCAGATGCATTACAATAATACAGTGGTTCCCACACTTTGGTGACTAACATTATAATCAGTCTAAAAAGCTCCCATCGACCCTTTTAATTTCAGCAGATTTTTAAACTGAAAGGCCACAGAGGCGACATGGCTTTGCAAGACACTTGGAGTTGCTTGGTGGACTAATCAGTGAACATAGGACTATGGTTTGGGAACCACTGAACTAAGGAGTCTTACGGACATGCAAAATTAATGGTTGAGTAAAGCTTTGCACACACACACACAGAGTCAAAATGGAATGCCACGCTTTCTGAAAAAAAAAGAAAATTAAACAGTATCTGCCTAGCAAGGTTTGATTTAAAGGCAGAAGTAAAGCAGTACTAGTAGTGTGGTAAGATTTATTGTATAAAGGACTATTCAGGAAGCATTTGATTCTATTCCACACTTAATAAATCTTATCTCTAACAACTCTTCAGCTCAAAAGATTACAAGACCAAAAGGGACTGTTCTGGTCTTCCAAACTCACCTTCCTGTGTGGTACAAACTGAAAGATTTATTTTGTTTGAGTCTATGTATCTTTTAGAAAGAAATGCCTAGCTAGACGGGATATAAAACCAACATGGAACAGAGCTTGAGGGCGGGTGAGCTACAGACTTCCAGTGAAATGATGTTTCTGTTGAACTTCAGCTCCTAGGAGAATTGCAAGACTTTCTTTATAACCACAAGACAAACCTGCAACACTTTAAGAAACGCGAGCCAGCTTTGTAACTTCCAGCCTCTCCTGCTTGTTTTTTACCTCATTGATATCTGTGCACTGGGACCCGTTGCCTGAATAACCTGGGGGACAGGGTCCGCAGCGGAAGCCAGTGCCGGTCTCAGTGCAGGCCACTCCAGGGAAGCAGGAGTTTGGGAGGCATCTGTTAAACTGTGTCACGGTGATGACAGGGCCTGTCGCCTCGGTGTGCATGCCTAGAGGACAAGAGGAACGGTAAGAACAGAGCTGTCCCTGCCAGAGACTATCATGGGGTGGCCCCATTGTCTCAGAAGGTATCGGTGGGCTTCACACATAGGACATTTCCTCGCATCCTTTCTGAGGGCTGAGCACTTGTAGCTCTATTTTGTAAATGGAGAAAAAAATTAGGAGAAGCAGCAGTTTGACAGATTTCTGAGTCAGAGCAGACAAAAAATAAGTCAGAACCCCAGAAAGTCTTCGCTCCCAGTCCAGAACTCTTGTTATGCCACCCTCCTTGTTGGTGCAATACCCTTGCTTTTGGAGTTCCAGAGCGATCACATTTTCTCCCTGGTTCCTCCATAATTACACCTTACTGGTGGTATGGACTCAGACACTTGGCTAGAGCAGAACCCACAAAGGCTTAAATCCGGGAAGCATTGTGGAGGGCTGCCTGCCAAAATCTCCGCTGTAGAAGGCAGGCATGTTAAACAGGTCAGCTCAGTTTGTAGCAGGAATACACTCACATCAGGCTCACATAAGGCTCTCAGGCCATAATATTATGCATAACATGCTACCTGTTATCTCCACAGGGCTAGGAAACCTCCCATCATCCTGGCAGATGACAAAGCAATCTGTTGTTTGGACATTCATCACTTCTGGGCTGGAATACAGCAATATGATCTATCTAAGCATGAAGTACAGCTTGTGATGTGTAGGAAATTCTGACCCATATAAAATGCTACTGCAGTTCTCTTCAGAAGCACTCTGAACACATGAAGCCATGAAGCCTGTCCCCACACCGTGGCATACCAGCTTCCCTGAAAGTTTTAGGCCAAATGCCAGGTTGTTCTCCTTATCCTCACGCCCTGACCCACAGCACAAGAGAACTTGTAAAATTAATCTCTGTGGGACACAGAACTTCACTGAAGGCCAATTCAAGACCAAATAAACTTTCACAGAATCTAGAATTGTCATAAGTCTCCCACACCCGCTACTCTAAGTGGCAAGGACACTTTTTGCTCCCGTTTTCTCCAGCTTAAAAGCCCAACATAAAAAATGTGAAACAAAACTAAACAAGAAACAACACTCTACCACCACCACCAGCAAAATCTTCACTAAAACAAGGCCTCCTCTCTTCATGCTTCTCTTTCTGTGAAATAATGAGAAGCACACGACTGCTGTGAGTCACGTTGTTCAATGCATGACTAAAAGAGGCTCAAATTCTACAGTAAGGAGTGCAGGAGAAGAACTCATAAAAAGCAGAATAGCAAGTCAAGTAACAGAGAGAATGTTCAGGACAGTTTTATGAGCAAATTAAAACAATTGCTGTGGATGAATGCATTTCTGTTCTGCAGGTCCCAGACACTTTGGCTTCTTTTCCAGAAGTACAATCTCTCCAAATGCAGAAATGGTTATTGCTCCGCCCTTTAAGTGTACTGGCAAATAACAGAGCACCTCCAAGAACCAAGCTTTCTGAAAGCCAGATATACTGGAAGTAAGTTCCAGTCTAGAAAAAATAGCCATTTATTGGGGATCAAGAATTATATGGGAAAATTTATGACCCTGTGTCTTGAATCCTCTATAAACAACCTCTTTGCTTGGATGGTGGCAGCACTAGCAGGAAAGGAACAGCAGAGCAATGCCTCTTGGGGGTGATGTTCTCTTCCACTTGCAGCTCAGGAGTAGCCAACTATATCCCACAGGATACCCAGTGTGCATTCCCAGGCAATTCTAACATCTGCCAGGGGCTGGGTTATTAGGAGACATGGTTGGGCAGCTTTCCGCAGCAGAATGCAGCTACCCGGAGAAGAACAGCGTGGTATGTCACAAAACACTAACAAAGCTTATTTCAGAAATAGTGGAAGGAAGCAAATGCTGGGGGGTTTGCTGAAAGATGAATTTTTTAAGGCTGCTTCTGCAACCCATGCTCAGGAAAGGGATAACAGCTTCAGCTGCTATTGAATGATGAGAACAGCATGAACTCTGGCCCATGCATGCTGCATGTTGTGTGGGAAAAAGAAGCACCACTAACACTGAGTGTTACCTTGTGACACTCAAGGTAATTGTGAGACAAGCTATTTCCTTTAGGGAGATGGTCACAAGTGGCATTTTACTACTTCTTTGGACACAAAGGTATGAAGGACTTGGAGGAGGCAGCTGAACATAGGACTCAGCTCAGTAACTCACCACAGGCATCACACTCCATGACAGTATTCTTCAGGAATGTTATCTCCTTAATCTAGAAGAAAACAAGAACCGCCACTTAGCCAGAGGCTGAGTCTTGCTCCCACGAAAACCAATAGCCCCACTGCCAGAAAACAGGGTGTCTAGGTGAGACTGCACTGTTACTTACAAACAAATTAACTCTTACCCCAAGGTCCATGTTGCAGACTTTCTGGAAGCTGAGGTGGCTTGTATTCCCTGCTGTAAGTCACTCCCTACTGTGGTGTTTCTACAGGCTAACTTGATAGTACTATTCTATCACAGATGCAGGAAACACTTGACTTGAATACACAGAAACAAGTGTCGTAGAGGAAGAGAAATCTACTTTATTTGGGTCTTCTATCCTAGAAGATGCTGAACTAGCAGTCCTAGAGACATCTGATTTATCTGTAGTCCAGGCACTGCATAAGTAAAGTCAGGACGAGGTTCCCCTGTGAGCCATTTTTGTAGATATATGAATAATCCCTGACACTGCTTATGCCATTCTTTGGCCCCAATGCCTGTGCCACGAGGATATTTAGAATTTATACACAAAAGCTCCTCCCTCCAGACTTCCTCTGATCTCCTCCTCTAGGGCTTCTATTCCTTCAAGCTTGCATCAGAAAAGATAATTTGTAGCATGGGCAGTGCAAAGATGCTGTTCCTTTGGTGAAGAAAGCAATACGGGACAAGCACAAGTAAACATTTCTCAAGCTAACGTTTATATGACTATCTAGCATCTTGTATAGCAATCCTAGTGGAGTTTTTTCCTGTGAAAGTCTTACTGGCTATCTACAACTGATACTCAGGACCACCCTTCCACACCCTGTGGACTTTGTGTTTCTGCAATTAAATCATTTCACTTTCACAAAAACTTTTACTCATGTCTCTCTGCCAACCCCCAGGTATAAGAGCAAGCTGTCATTCTCTCTTCTCTGCAACACGGCCTGAGGTCATGTATTTTGAATAGTTAATGCAGAGATAGATCTGACCCAAATCCCCAGAACATCTCCCATTAGAAGTGGGTGACAGAGAGCAGAGCAGAGAACTCAGAGCACTGCTAATGAGTATCAGCGGTTCTTGTGTGCCAAGAATCCTTCAGCCTTTGGCTCAGGAGAGTAGACCTGGCCTTTTATTGCTATGCCTTTTGCCATCCTTATTGCCAACAGCCCAAGATGCTGAATCAAGGAAAAGTAAGTTTTAGAAAATTTTTGCATAGATTAAGAAATTATGAACTGCCACCTTGGCTCTCCAGTGGTATATGCAAGTTTCTCTTATGAAGAAGAGCCTTCTTGAAAGCGCTGTTAAGAAAAAGGCCATGGATTTAAAAAAAAACAAACAAAAACCCCAAAAAAAAAAAAAAAAAAAAAAAACCAAAAACAAAACCAAAAACAAAACGTAAGTGGCAAGAGTGAGAGAACAAATAGAAAACCTGTATGGAGAAGCAGTGCTAAACTGGATGGGAACACTGGAAATCATCGCTTGAGGCTGCCAGGAACCATGTCTGACCTGATTCCTAGTAAACACTGGGTATTTATGCAGTAGCCTGAAATGTGAGAGTAACTCAATGCAACAGATGTTTTTGCAGATTAGAGGCCGCCCAGTTTGCACTGGCACAGAGACCTGTCTGCCATTCCAATTATCTGGCAGGCAGAGCTGCTGCCCTCAGCTCCCAGAGTGGATGAAGGGAGAATGGAACCTTTTTCTATACTTAAAAGAGAGCTGACCAGGCAAACCACCATCTCCTCGTTAAAATGGGAAAGGATCTAAGCACCCAAGAAGTTCCAAATTCCCTAAGAAACTACCGGAGCCAGAAAGGCTTAGAATTAAAACAAGAGGAAACAGTGAATACAGAGCTTGTTTAGACTCCATATGACTTCCCCTTCCAGGACCCTAATAGATGGCTAAAAGGTCTCTTCCATCTTCCAAGTTTGGACTCTACTGATCTCACAACCCACAAAACCAGGGAAAAAGTTACGTGTTTTTCCAGTGAAATATATACCCACTGTGTTTGCATGTCTTTTTTGTTAAGAGTCAATTCTCCATGTACGCTGTTTTTCAGCAGGCACAATTCTAACCAGCAGAATCTGGAATTCAAATGAATCCACTTTCTCTCAGAATTAGAGATCTGATTGTGAGACCACCTCTTCCTTCTAGTTTGTGACGTGGTAATTCTATTACTTGTTTCACTTAACACAAGACGCAGCCCCTACAAGTCCCAAACTCAGCACATAAGGCAGAGGATTTAGAGATCTCTTGTGCAGCATATAAGGAATTAGGTCCCTTTCTCACCTACCTGCTGTTTCAACAAGTCTCGAACTTCCATTAGAACACGGTTAGTTTCTCTCATCTCTTCCAGCATTTCTGGCCCAACTTCACCTCCTAAAAAAAACCGAAGTGGTTGGGAAAAACACAGAAGAGCCATTAGCAGTACAAACCAACATTATTAACTTCATCTTAAAGATACAGACTCCTCCACACTAGTCTGCCAGCTTCTAACTAGAAACCTGCTGGAATTAACAGAGACTTGCACATGGGGTGTAATTTGCTCTGGGCAGGGCAGACAGTGATAATCAGCCATGCCTGTCAGGTAGGTAACAGTTACCCCTCAGCCAACAAATTGGCCTGGCAGTCTGGCAGTTGTGGTAGCTGTTCATCTGGCATGGTCTCTGCAGTTCACACACAGGAAGGCTTTGCTGCCAAAAGAAGCAAATTAATAATTCAGTGCTGTGGAAGCTGCTATGAAGGGCACCACTAAAGTAAGGCTGTTTGCTGAGTCTGTCCCAAACGTGCTGCCAAGCACTGAACGTGGAAAACCGGCACATCAGCCGTTGCCTCGCCTGTTCTCAAGGTGCAGACTTTTTTTCTTGCTGGACATGGGTTCTTTTTGGGTAGCAAATTGCCATGTAGTGGCTTTGGGACACAAAGGATACATCTGCTCATCCATGCAACACTGCAAAATCCTGTTTAAACTATGCTGAACAGAGGATATACATCATCTTACAAGGCCATCTAGGGCAGATTAACATGACTTTTTCCTCCCATCTGCTAGATTCTAGACTTGCCTGGCCCTTTGAGACATGCTAAAAATCCAGTCAAAACTCCAGCTTCACTCAAGAAGAATTAATGGAAGTAGTTCATTGTTTCTAGAATTATGTAAGTTTTAAGAAAACTTGAACCACTTAAAAACAATTAAAGTTCAACTCCAGTATTCTCCTGTCTGCCATGAGAAAGTGCAACCTCATTTCTCTAGTTTTTTCTAGATTAATCGATCCTTTAACAGAAGTCTCACCCTGCCTACACTGTAAGCAAACCTTTACGGAGAGAGAAATAGCAGTATCTTCTACAAACAGCACTGTGTGTTCAGGAGAAAATTATCTGGAGTTAGGGGTCTGCCTTCTTGAGCATGCAGAATTTGCCAGTGCCAAAGGCAGGATGTGAGCCCATGCTACTGGTTTAGCACAGCTACTTCAGCATTCTCATGTGACAAATGAGCCTGAAAGCCTCATGAGTCTTCCCCGCACAGAACCAAGAGGACTTTATGAATATCTGTAGTCTCTCCAATACATTTTGGTTTGGGAACTAAACTGAAAGTACCACAGATGTGTCATTCTAAGACAGAAAGCCTGAATTAAAGTGACGTTTCTTATTTTACTGAAAACAAGGAGCTTGCACATAATTTCTAACTTCAAAGAGAGGTTTTGAATAAGCTCTGCGTGAAGGCTTCAGGCAGCTTCCGTTATTCCTGGGAAGAATTTTCCATCCCTAGTAGAAAAATGTACTTTAAAATAAAAGTTTGTGGGTTTTTTATCATGCAAATTCACAACAATGATTCAACCGCTCAGGAGCAATTTCCACAGGGAATCTATGCCCTTGCAGACATTTCCATTGCTATGCATCCTTCTCCATGGACTCATTCGGTCTCCACAACACACACCTGAATCTCTGGTACACAGTCTGAGTCTCCCGGATCTCACAGATCCTCTTGAAGTTGAGCATTCCCCGAATGGGCTGTTCAGAGATGTGGAACTTTTGTAATGAAGTTAGCATGGCTACGTTCCTGGAAGCCAGGGCTTCCCTGGGCTCTATGTGTAGAAGCAGAGACAATATCCAAGGATCCTGGCTATCGAACATTCTGTAGGATCTGGTTTTTTAACTTACATCACATGCAAAATGCAGATTAATGTAAAGTGTCACTTGCAGGTTATTACAAAACACAACAAAATTTCTAATTGCCCTAGAATAAATGTTTTTCTTAAAAGAACCTCACTATTCATGAGGAGAACTGGGGAAAAATCTAAGACTGAACACTTACACTGTTAAGCTTCAAGTTTCATATGAAACTACAAAATCCCTAAACATTGCTTTCAGGCTTCAGTAGATGCAGTTGAAAAGTTAACCTTCGTCCTCATTCCCTTCTGCAAAACAGAATTTTCTTAGGAGTCTAGAAAGCATGAGTCCAGAAAAGATAGAGAGAATTAAAATTACTTACCTGCTCGTCTCTGCTGACATGATGAGAAAGGACAAGAGAGGCAGAGGAGAAAAACAAATGCTAGAGCTGAAATCATCTTTGAATCTCCAGGCAGTGTGGATGTATGGGCTTCTCTTGCAACGAATTTTTAACCTGCAGGTTTGCCTCTGCTCCCCATTAGTGTCTGTGGTTTGCTATTTATGAAGTTGCATTCCTTCCTCTGAAGTTCTTATTCTCTGATGCTGGACGAGGGGTGGACGTCATTTCTGGCTGCTAGTCCACAGAGAACGTTACAAAAGTAAACAATATGAGAAACTCATCAGGAGAGTAGTTTAATTTTTTTTTTTAGACTGGCTTGTACCAAAATAGGTCAGAAAATTCCAGAATTAAATGGATTCTTTTTGGATTGGGGTTTATTTCTTCTTCATGGACACAGGATAGACGGATGATTCATAGCCATATCCCTCACAGATTTTCCTTCTAAAACTGCTCACAAGATCACAAAAGCTATGAGACATCTGGACTTCACTAGAGTTTCAGAAAAGACTCTTTAAGCTCCCAAAAGACAGTTTCACCACTCACACTTGGGGTAGAATTATTGAATCATCTTCCAACTCCAAAGAGGAGCTGTCACATCCTATTTCAGAGAGGGATCAGCCCTTAGAGGCTGTTCTTATTACCCCCCACCCAGGCTTGTCTAAAGGAAGGATGCAGTGCAGAAGTGACGGCATGAAAGGAAGGTAGACTTTGCTGTTTCTTGTCTGTGAGGGAATGAGTTGCAATCCAGTATTTTTCATCAGTCAGTCTCAGTTCAACACTTTCCATCAGAAGACACAGAGCGGATTGAGAAAGCCATCTAGAGCAGCCAAAGAAAATCTGCCCAAAGAAAATCTTAAAGCTGCTACATCAAGGAAACTGCAAGTTAAACTGTGACCTGTAAAAAAGGTTAGTTTGAAGACCAGTGAAATTCTTGATCACACATTCTCACTGTTTGATTCTGAAATCTGCCCGTATGTTGATCATACAACACCCTTTGGGACACAGACAGGAAAGTCCCAGGAAACAGTAGTCCACTCATTAAAGTGTTATAGCAGCAGGATCCTTGATATTTACATAAAGATTTTTTTCTCATTTTGGCCTCAGACCTCCCATGTTCAGGAAAAAACTTGTCATCCCTGTGGCTGTGCACAATTCTTGAAGGTAACTGCGTGCAGTCTGGCAGGCACTGGTGAGCATGCATGTTCACTAATAAATAATATTAGTTTTATATTACGGGAATGCTGCAGCAGACAGATTTTGCATTTTTTTGCTCCAAGCAAACTTATACACAAAATAAAGTTAATTTGCATGCGTTACCTAGCTGGCATATGTGTGATTCTGCTTGTCTGGCGCACATGCCATCTCATGTCACACACAGCAAGTGACTTTTTGCTGTCAAGCCACAGGTAAACCAGTTTTGAGGGTTTGATACTTGTGGTAAACAAAAGGGGTTTAGCTGGAACAGAACAACTGAAGTTTCCCAGGTTTTAGCATCTCTGGGTCCTTCTGGACAAATCAAAACTGTTGGAACTGAGTATTAAAGATAAAATATACTGTTATCCCCAGTGATGTTCTGGGAAACGTTATTTACAATTTTTATTTTATAGCAACAAATAGGGAGTGAATGAAAAATGCCCTGTCACACATCCCACAGAGACCAACTCTTTCACCAGAAACAGTGATGGTCGATGTCTGTCCAGCTTATGTTTGAAGGTGCTGCTGGCAAGAAGTGAGAGACATCCAGACTTTGCAGACTGCACAGTCCAGGATCCTGCTGTGGAGACCCATTAGTACCTGTTATAGTAGTGGAGAGTTTTAAGGGAAAAGCACATTACTTCAACAGAAGCCTCATAGGTCATTAATAAAGGAAGGTTCTTGCCAACTATTCAGAAAAAAAATTGTTTTCTTCAAGTGGGGAGAAGTCATAAAACTCAAGAAAGAAAAAGATGTAACTCACATGGAATGAAGAATGGACAAGGGTCACTTGTGAGGTCACCTCAGAAATGACTGCCATCGGATTTGCTTTCAATGGAGAAATGTATGTCCATATAGAATGATGAGACAAGCAAAACCCTAGTACTACAAAAAAGAAATTAAAAGAAAAAATTAACTATTCAATACAAGGCAAGTAAAGTATGTATGAGCAGTAATGGTATTTTCTACTATCTAAGCAAAGTATTACTCAATGATATTAGGACATAAAGCCAAACAACCCCACATAAAAAAAAAAAAAACCCCACAACTTAAAGTCAGACACCTAATAAAACAGTTGTTTGAAAGTCCAGTATCCAGCTACCTGGAAACTTTTGTGTTTCTAAGTTTTCAGGGGCCAAAAAACCCCCGGTTTATGAGAAGAGATAGTGGGCTGACTAGACACAACCATTTCTGAGAACGTAACAAATTGGCTTGTGAAAGGATGTGACCCCCAACAAGCAAGGGAGCAATATTTGTATCTAGGAAGAGCTCTCAAAGACTTGTCAAGAAGAGTCCTGCCTCCTCTGCACAGAGTTCAGCACTGCCAGCTGCCCACGATCACATGCCCTTTTATAATACTCTAACTGACGATCACATGCCCTGCTTTCAGCTGGAATAGAGTTAATTTTCTTCCTAGTAGCTGGTACAGTGCTGTGTTCTGGATTTAGTGCAACAACAATGTTGATAACACACTCATGGTTTAGTTGCTGCTAAGTAGTGCTTGTCCGAAGTTCAGGATTTTTCAGTTTCCCGTGCTCTGCCCGTGAGCAGGTCTACAAGAAGGTGGGAGGAGGCACAGCCAGGATAAATGAGCTGAACTAGCCAAAGGGCTATTCCATACCATGGGATGTTATGCCCAGTATATAAACTGGGGGGGATTGGCTGGGAGGGGTGGATGGATGCTCAGGCAGTGGCCAGCGGGTGGTGAGCAATTGCATCGTGTGTCACTTGTCTTTTCTTGCGGTTTATTTCTCTCTTTTTTTGTTATATTCCTTTTCATTGCTATCATTATAATATTCTTTATTATTACTGTTATTATTATATTTTATTTTAAACTGTTCTTATCTCAACCCACAAGTTTTACTTTTTTTTTCAATTCTCCTCCCCATCCCACTGGGAGCAGGGAATAGTGAGCAAGCAGCTGCGTGGTGCTTAGTTGCTGGCTGGGGTTAAACCATGACATCACATTATATGTAAAATTCACTATATTTTCTAATATGCCTATTATTTAACACCTAAATTAACTCATCAGTACCATATTATAGAGAAGTTAGATAATTTTCTTTGTTTTTACTATGGACTGAAGAAACTCAAATAATTGACATTAAAAAGAAGAAATCTCCCAAGCTCCTGGTGTCACCGCAAAGGACAAAGGAAGAGTGAGCCCCTCTCTCTTGAAGACGACCTTGAATGACAAGCTGCAGGTCATCAAAGTATTTAAAACAGTCAGGGCTGCCAGCAGCAAACCTGGATCTCTTCACAGGGCAGAGAAAAAGAGAACTTGGGTAATATGGACAATCTGCAGGTATGTCATCATCTCTGTTGTCCTCTGTAAAAGAGTCACTAATGATGAATTTATTAGTGCAATATACTGAACTGGCTCACTTGTAAGTAACTTTGCAGTTAGCTGAGGTGTTTTAGCACAAGAGGCAAACTGTGAGTACGTACTTAGAAGATGCAAGTTCTCAAACTCAGTAAAATCGGGAATGTTCGCTGCTGAGAAATGACATTAATTTCCCTCAGCAACAATCAGTGTAGGACAGCATGGTGAAGAATAGTGCTTATTATTGCTCACTTATTCTAAATTAAATGAACCAAAGCATATTAAATCTGCATTGCACCAATTTTAAATATTTGAACAAATAAGTCTTCTGTATATCAAAGCTGTGATCAATATGTCTTCCTGTTTTTCTAGAAACCCAAACCCATTTCTTTTTAGTCTGCAACAGTTTCTGGGATCATTTCTATTCATTGACAATAGCAAAATAATTGTACAAATTAAAATGTAGTTCACTTCTACAGAGCTTTCTTGAGTTGAGCAAGACATGATGTCTCCACAGAGTGAGGTCATTCCTACCTTTATTTTCCTTGGACTCATATTATACCTTTCCATATTCAGATCTGAGGGCTAGAAATCCCTGTAAATCACTACTCTAGCACAGTTTAAACACACAGTAGCAGATCAGAAAGTGTTTGGTCATTGCTTGGTTATTTTTGGGTGCCTGTGTCTGTTTAAAAAGGATAAATTCATAAGTAGCTGATATATCTGAACTTGTTACTATCTGATGGGGAAACATCTTCCAGATTTGTCAATATAATATTTTAAGTAATACTGATTAAAAAAAAAAAAAAAAAAGACTGAGCATCAGATAGTGTTTATTTGGGCTTCAGTGTAAAAGTGTTTTTGCACTCTGCGCAGTGCCAGGTTAGTTACACCTTTTTCCCTGACTGGAGTTGACATCACAAATGAAACCAGCACACAAACAAGCAACAAAAAGAAAAGCTCATACTAGTTTAAAGTTTAAATATTTTCCATCTCTGTGTTTTTAACTAATCTTTGCCAAGTGAAGGACAAAAGTCAGAAGGAAAAAGTTATTTTTCAGTCTTGTAAGGTCAAATTCTAAAAATAAGTGAAAAACATCTACACCCTCAGAAATTGTATGCTAAGTGTTTTACAATATTTCTTATATGTTTATGGTCATAAGAAAAAAGATTATATAGAAGATGACCAGTAAGGATTTTGAAAAACATCTTGTTCCTTTTCCTCCCAATACAGGATCAATAATACCAATGGCACTCTTCACTAAGTCTTCTCTACCCTGTTCTTAAATGCTTCCAGCAACTACACAACCACCCCAGGCAGCCTTCCATTGCTTTATCTTCCCACTGTTAGAAAATGTTTCCGAGGGATGCTACTTAAGCCCATTGCTTCTTTCCTTATTCACCATGAGCTCAAAGAGCAGATTAGCCCCTTCTTTGAAGTAGCACTCTATATTTGAAAACTTGCATTTCAATTCTATACTTTCGTAAAAGAGACTGGTAATGTATGCAGCTTCCAAGTTTTATACAACCAATATAGAAATGTGGAGATGGAAAATCATCATAGTCATTGCAGACTGTCAACAGTTAGTTCTAAGGGAAATAAAAGTCTTGAAGTCTCAATGAAATCTTAATCGGTCATGATTTTTGTTAATTGTCACAATACATAAACTATCTATGACTCAGAAGACATATTATCTGTTGTGGTGAACTGCTTGATTACAACCTGACACACATCACTCATGAGTATATCAGTAAGAAGCCAAATACATCAGAATTTTTCAGCCCAAGCATGGTATTTTTCAGCTTGTACTTAGTTTGAATGCTGTTGTCTAACACTTGCAAATTCCAAAGATACATACTGTGAAAAGGGCTGGACACCGAAGTTTGAGGCCCAGCTGCCAGCAGAATCTTCAGTCTTGTCCTATCTTCTGCTCTGTGCTTCCAGACAAAACAAAAGCCCACTTTAAAAAGTTTGTAAAACATTATTTTACAGCTTGTTTATGTACAAATACTTATTTCATCAGTTGCTAAAACAAAATCTCAACAAGCAGGATTCCTAAATGATCTACTTAGAGCTATTTGCAGGCCTGAGGTAACAAACTTTAGGTATTGACTAAATAATATAAAGAGTAGCACCACTGGTGCTTCTTATGGAAAACAGATTCATTATGTGTCATAAACACCTAGAGCGATGCAAATATTATACACAAAATCCATCAGTCAATAGGTAAGAACATCTCCATCCCCTCCCCGTATGCCTCATTCATTGCAAGATGGAATAATCCATTAGAGGTTGTGGTTTGTTACATGTTTGAAGAGTTACAGCTTGCTGCAGTCTGGTTTATGTCTCTAACTTTGAATTTCTTAGCAAAGCAAGGCACTGAAGGTCACGGGAAGACCTTTTATAAGTACTTATAATGTTTTTCTCATTTAATCAATGGCAAACTGCAATGATAGACTATCAAGCCTGTAAATTATAATAAATGGACATGAATCCATTGTGCAGTATATTAGCTTTATCATTTGTTCTTCTCATTGTTTTCTGCCCTGCTAATGGAATTTGATTAATGTCAGTAAAGCCATTTACATGAGCTAAAAAAAAAAGTCACACAACTCGCTGTGGCAATAGGCAGGATGACATAACGCTGGGCCACAACCACAGTATCACAGCAATTGGCACGTTGTGACAGGGATGCCTCTTGGGAGGAAGCTACTGCCTTCCGCCGCAGAAAGCGGGGCCTTCCTTGAAGGAAGATTAGAGTTCCAGAAGGATCAACATTGCCGCTTATTCTTCCAACACTACTCGAAATTTGATGACTTTTATACTTACAACATATGAAAAGCTGACTTTCAAGGGAACATCAGTTTTCACCCTGAACATTTTCTTAGAGTTTTGAATGCAACAAAACAAACACCATAATGGTAGTGTACAAAAACAGCTGCAAAATGGTTTCTGAAAAAAGGTGCAGAGACGCTTTCCAATGTCTGAGCGAGGAGTCCCACAAAAAAAAGACAGCAATGAGCCCAGAAAACATTCAGACTCTTTGTTTTGTCCTCAGCTCCTAACCCCTAACCAAAACCAGTATGACCTGAGTAGGGGTTTTCCAATATTTTTGCTGTTGCCTGGCCAGCACAACAAATGCACATTTTGTAAGTAGGAGATATCTGTAAGCCATCAATCACATATCAAGAACTTGCCACCTTTATCACCCCCTTTTTCTTTCTTTTTTTAAATTCAGTGAATGCTGTGGTAGGGGGAGAAGAAAGATGCTAGTCTGAAAATTTCTAAGTATGTCGTCGGGACAGATTCCCTGCACCTCTTGACCTGACCTAGGAAGCTACCAGTAAGAGTCGGAAGCAGCTCCTGTCTCATAACCAATTTGTAGCAACCATGAGAGAGCTAAATGGCCTTACTTTTTATTGCCACATTACTCTTCTGAGGGAGAAAGAATCCTGCTCTACAGACATGGAACTGAATCACTCAGAAGCTAAGCAGCTTGCGCTAGGTCACACCATGCGAGTAAATTGAACCTGGAAGCCCAAAGCTCATGCCAGCACTGAAATAACTAAACCGCCTTTCTCCTCTGAAGAAGGGGAATCTTCATTCACAAACATTGGCAGAGAAAGACACTAAAACAAAAAAAAAGCACATGCACATTCATCTAAAGTAAGTGATACTACGTATTGTCTGGGCAGCCTTACCACCACTGGAAGTGGCTGATCTTCCTGGAAGTGCCATATTCTGCCCACGTTGGCTGAGAGAACGACACACGATGACATAGGAACTCTGAGGAGCATCAGCAAGAAAAGCTGTACTTCTGCAAGAGAAGGAGATACCAAACAGCTAGAGCCCTGCAACAAATAGTGCCTAAGTGCACAGTAAGAACGCTGCAGTTCAGTTTCATCACAGATGTGATACCGAACTTCCAATATTCAGAGGGCATCAAGAAGCATGAGTGAGGCTAACCTAGACTGTTCAGGTAGTCAAGGTTACTAGATTACCTGGTTACTATTAGCTCCATCCCCGAAGTCTCCTCAGGAACAGCAGGAGATGAGGCCAATGACAGGACTGGTGACAAAGCCACAATATAGGTCCAAGGTCTATCCAGAGACAGGGCTACAAGATCACCCTGAACATTCTCCTTTATTGAAAATACAATCCAGAACTTCCCAGTGACTTGATGAGTTTTGATAATCTAATTTCTTGTCTCTAGGAGGCTCACAGCACTGTCAAATGTTCCATACTCCTGGGTCCCACACTGATAATCCCACTCCTTCCAAAATGCCTGAGACATTGTGTCAACATAATCCTGTCTGAAAAGAACTAAGACACCTGGAACCAAAATGCTTTTTACAAAACTGAGGGCAGGAGGCCAATCAAAGGGCCCACAAATCTCCTATCAGCCCTCATTCAGTTTTGCTCTACCTCTCACTTAAGGCTGACGAAGACACACTATGACAAATCAGAAGCTCAAGGGGTGAAAAGCAGGGGCATGTACAGATCAAGAAGAACTGTCTCCCATCCTTCCCTTCCTCTCAAGCAGCTCGCTGTAATGAACCTTACAGCTGGGGGTATAAAATGCTGCCAGAGCTCCTTCTCCCCACCGCCACCCTGCTCAAAACTATTCCCCAGCATATGTCGTAATCATACACCCAGGAGGGTTGTTAAAACCTTACAGGAAACATCTCACATTTTTTCCTTTACTATTCATGCCATTTTCTATTAGGGACAATAAAGACTTCTAACACTGGATTAAGCTCATTTGCAACAATGAGCTACTATTGCTCCAGGAGCCAGCAGGAGCTCAGACTCATTGAGGGAACTGGGAATAATTAACTGAATTGTACTGGAAAAAAGGAGAAGACTGAAGGCTGTTTTGACCAAGAGAAATGCAGACTGATGCGATGGTTAAGCCATCATGTCTTGCTGGGAATTATTGTTGGGAGTATCATTAATGCTTAGAGTATGCAAGTTTTTTCAGTAAAGCTGCTTTGGCTGTCGTGTCCCTTTTTGGGTTTTGCTACTAAAAGACACCTCCCAGAGTCATAATGACAATAACACAGTTTTACTGATTGCTTTCACTCGTTGCTCAGTATGCACTAAGTCACTTCCCAAACTCCTAGGGATGGCAAACCTTAAAAGCTTTTCTAAGCAGACTGGTTTTTCTTTTCCCCTAAATGATATATATATAATTCACCACCATGGTCAAACCTTATTGTGTAATCCAGGGGTCTTCAGCAAGAGTGTAAACAGGAATTGTCTCATTACAGAAGGGACTGGAAGTGCTCAGTGCTCTGAGATCACACATGTAGGTGGGCAGACGGCATGTACACTTTTTAATAGTCTAGGGACCTCTCTAAGGGAGCACTGACTTGGTTTTGATCAAGTACCAAGACTTACTAACTCAAAAGAAACATCTGGCATTGACCCCTTCATAGGCAGAATACTGAACCTGAGGGACCCTGGAAATCTACTCTGATATGTTGCTTCAGCTGTCTGCACATGATTAGTTCAGTAGCTATACATAAATGCACATACTGTGTATGAATAATACTATTTCTGTATCATATATACAAGTATTACATAGATGAGTATTTGCAGTCCTCAAATTACTGCCTTCTAGCCACAAGCTGGCACATGCCATTAGCCTTTTGACATGCAGCTTCAAAAAAAAGATCAAGTTTCCATCATGCCTTTCAGCAAGGAAGATCCCAAGGAACTTGACAATCTATTCATACCTAATACCACCAGAACACAGACACCTTTGGGACAGAGAGTGCAGCCAAATACATAACAGAGTGCAGAACAGCAGAAAAAAAAGGGAAGCATTTGGCTTGGGACTCCAGAGAAAACCTCGCTTTTTATAGAGAGCACCGAGGATGGTTAGCATCCATTCATGGGAGACAGAACCGGGCTTTCTATGGTCACATCCCAAAGACCCACAGAGAAAATTTGAACTTCACAGTTTATTCTGCCTCAGAAGTATGAAGTGGTAAGTTACCTTTCCCAACAAGCTGGACCAGTAGTTCTAATAACTGTCTTCAGACAGACCACAAAGCTGTCCTTTCAGTGGGCATCTCAAGGGAACACCAACAAATTTTCCATGCCAAAAGTTATATTAAGCAAACCTGTTCAGGTCTCCTGGATACATGCAGCAAAAAGCTGTAGCTTTTTAATAAGTGTTGATTCAAGATTAATGATAGTTCTCTTGACATTTCCTCTCTTACTGACTGCAACAGGGGCCTTTTTTTTTCTTCCCATTTGCTCTTTTTCACATAACCTCTCCATAGCAATTAGCTCTACTGCTTACATTTAAAAAAAAAAAAACACACCAAAAACCAGAAGGAAGATATCTAGTGTGATTTAACAGCTGGAAATAAGCAAAACCAGCACCAAGCAATCAGGTCTTTTCAGGACACCAGTGATCAAAAGACCACTGTTGAGAGACTCTGTAAAAATGTAATTTGCAGTCAGCTGTTTGCAGGAGACATCAACCTTTTCACTGTTGAAAATTAGAGTTAACTTGTGTGAAGGGGAAGAAAGCATGAATCACTCTCTATTAGTCCCCCCTCACACCTTCACTGGCTGTGGGGATGCTGAAAGCCTGACCATTGCTTTCTCCAAACTCAACTCTTCAACATACTGGATGGGACAGAGAAAGAGAGAAAAGAAGTCGGTCACTAAATGCAATACTCTTTGTCTCATCTCGGGAAGAGGCTACACACTTAAGTTCAGTTTTAATATGAGCAGTTTAACACTTGCATGCAGAAATATGACTTTTTCTCATACAAGGGAAATTGGGAAAAAGCCTTTATGAATTACAATGAAAATTCTTCAAGTGTAGGTGCTTTCTTCGATTGCCATGGAATCAGGCTGACTAGGAGATTCATGAAGGGCACAAAGAATAGAGGGATATAGGAAGCACCAGCAGATTGTC